TGAAAATAATTTCTACTTTCATTATTATGAAATTCAAGAGAGGCACGGAGCCTCTGTGCTACTCATGGGCACGGAAACAGGTAAGTTATTATTATTTATGGGTTTTGGTTTTCTTCTTCTTTTTTTTGTGTTGAGTTTTTGTTTATATTAAATGAGGTCCTTCCTGCGAATTTAATCTCAAAACTTAAAGCCGAAATGAACATTACTAATAATAAGTCAGAAGGAATCCTTTGATTTAATTAATCTTCGTGAAGTTCTCTGGTGACTGTTGTGCTGCCCTGTGGCTAGTGCTGCCTCCAATGTCTGACTGAAGACCACCCAACACTGAGAGTAATACATCAGTAATTTTTGCAATAGCAACCCAGATCAATGCAACATGACATCAAGACATAGACATCAAAATGTTTCAACAGCTGAAAAAGTGATTTTTGCAGCTTGCTGCTCTGTCACACTGCAGATTATATCATAGACACAGGATCTTTGCTTAACATTCATTTTCATTTATCTTCTCTGGAAGATAAAAATCATTATGAATGCTTTCTTCTAGCTCATTTTCTTAATCATTTTGTATTGCAACATTATCATTGGTTCCTCAGCATTGTAAGACATTATTGGCATTTATTTTACATACAACATAAATGTCCAATGAAATTGTGGTACTTCCAATTCAACAAAAAACATTCCTTTGAAGTGCTGCTCTGATGAGTTGTTTCCAGGTGGGCATTAATCACACCTGCTCTGAGGAGCTGTACTGCTATGCTTCAGTATGCCTGCTTTAAAAGGCCTGAACAATAAAGGTCCTACTCCCTAACTATCTGTCCCTGTTAGAGCTACACACCTTACCATTGGGTACAGGGCATATATGGCACACTATCTGGTAAGTCACAGCAAAGGGTTGACCTCCCCATCCAAAGACATTTTAACCACCAGATACAGATACTGTGCCAAACATTCTGTTCTTGGGACATCGTTCATCCCTGACAGGCACAGTCAAATAAACTATTAGTTAAAATATCCCTTTTGTTCAACCTTTCCCAATCAGTGCAGTCTGTGCATAAGCTAGCTCCATTAAAAGCTGAAGATATATTTCCCTGGCTTTCATAAAAGTCCTCACCACAGTCACATTACAGCATTTTTACAAGATCAAATGTTAGGATTTGCAGCAGGTCAATTAGAAAGCTGCCCATGTACTTTGCTCTCCAGAGTAGGCTAATTGATGACATAAATCAGCCTGGCAGGACCTTCACCTCATGTTCCAATATTGTCTGGAACACATTTGGTAGCAATTCTTCAAACTAATCTTATCCCACTGCCACCAACACTTGGCTAGAACCATGTCACTTGCTTATCTGAGGCAATTAGTCATTAACCCCTTCAACTTTATTTTCTTCATTTCCTGTAGGTTTTTTTAAGCTTAATGCTGCTCTCCGCAATAGTCCAGCTTCACGACAGCTGTCTGTAAATAATAAATCAACCATATCACTGAGTGGCTCTTACCACAAAAATAGGTAACTTTGGATCTATTCTAACCCAGTCAAATCCTCCAGCAATAGGAATCCCTGATATCTTCAAATGCCTCATAGAAACCGAAATAGCAATAATCAGTCGTCATATCATGGTATATCTTTAAAGAGTTTGGTACAAAATATTTTAGAAAAAGTGAAAAAACAACAATTGTTTTAAAATTCATAATCTTAAACACAATATTTCCCTAGAGCTAAATCAGCAACCAAATACATCATATCCTGGCTGCTGATCCTACATAAAGTCATCCTGCATTGGGGGGCATGGGTGGCCCAGTCATCTAAGATGCCACATTTCGCTGTGCAGAGTTGCATCCTTTGGGCACGCCAGAAACCTATGATTGTGGGTTCAAATCCAAGTTCACCTTGATTATGTTTCTAGGTTTGTCAGCACCATACTCGTGCTCGTGAGTTTCATCGAAGTGGTAAATGTCTGAGACCTGCATCTCTTCGGGCTTTCCTCCCACATTAAGCTGACATGCCGTGATATAACTGGAATAATGTTAAAAGCAGCATTAAACCCAACTCACTAACTCACACACTCATCCTGCATTGCCTTTAACACTTTTCTTTATATGCAGCAAGCTATAGAGGGTTAAAGTAGGATTTTCCTACTCTCCACAAATCCTCTCTTAGACTCATTTTGTTCAATATTTTACATCAGACATTGGCATGATAAAGGACTTGAGAGCTGACAGCCACCAACATTTCAAAAGGCCTTTGAGATTTCCAGGCTGGATTATTATTGGCTTCGTGAAGGAGAAAGTGGTTCACTATATTGGAACAGCACTGTTTGACCGGACTGTTACCAAGGACTAGTTTCTCAGTAGCCATAAAACATAATCAAAATTAGGATTCATATTGTCAGGATCCTTTACACCATTGGCAAAACTGACCAGTAAGTACATTTCTAAAATTACTTTTAATAAGTATTTACTGACATTTGCGTAAAGATTCATTATTTCCACCATTCACTGTGTCCAACTCAACGGTGACTGATTCTTTAGTTACACATTATTTTAAAATTGTTGCTCTAGTGGCTACCTCAGTAGGGTTGTAAGATAGCTAAGACAGGTAAAACATGTACTTGTTGTGGCAAGGGAAGGGCTTAGTTCATCATACAGGTACAATGTGTGAAGTCCATTTTAGGAGTCTCCCTCCACAACATGTCTGGAATATTATAAAAACCTACTCATTGACTCAAAATTTCAGATATATTTCCAAGCAGAAAAAGTCCTTTAAGCTCCCCAGAATTCTTTCATTCCTTGCTTTTTGTCATGACCAGCAGTTACAAAATGTCCCAATTTAATCAATTCCAGAAGTCAATCTGAAAATTTACCAGACTGGGCCCAGCCGACCATGGCAAATATTAGACAAGTACTTCAGTAGTGTGTTTTCAGCATAAATGTTATCAAAATGTAAGAAGGGAAGATAACTTTTGCTTTGCATTCCAGCAACGCCTCTTGTGTGGACAGCAGAGACGACCACGCCCAGTGATGACCCAGATTCCAGCCATCCCCACCCTACCCCAGATCCCAAACCTGGGGGAGGTGGGAACTGTGGGTGAAGGGGGTCCCCAGGAAGGACTGGTCATGCCCCTGTCCGTCACAGACAGGTAACACATCCTTTATTCTGAAGTATGTATTCAAGTTTCTTGTATAAAATAGGATTAAAAACAATGGCAGGAAAGAAAACACTATGTGTTGGGACATTTTGAAACTCTATCACATGGAGGGATACCAAGAATATTAACTTAAGGAAAACCCAAACTGGACCTCCAATATATACCACTCTGCCCCCCTATCAGTATGTTTCAGACAAAAATAGCTACAGGTAATGGCTTAGATGTTTACTGATTGGCTATTTCAAGATATTCAAAAGTAAGATTTACTTTGACTACAGCTCTATTTGATTCAGTAGTTTTTCAAATTATTCCCAAAAGACAAGTCACAATGACAGAATCCTAACAACAAAATACTGCTCTTCAATACCCCCCGAAAGTCTTAATCCCCATTAAAACTACCATGTCTATAACATGAACAATGAAAAAAAAACAATCCTGGACGTGATCGATCATGGATCAATGCATATGATATACAGCTTAAGACGAGGACAAAGACCAAACACTGAGTCCCACTCTCCACACCTGATAGAGGCCGTGACATGTCAATCTATCTGGATCCAATCCAACTCCAATCTCAAAAACAAACACCTGAAACGTACACCCTGTCTGACACAATAATCAACAGACAACCCTTTAGCATGTCAATGTCCCCACAAGTGTACATAAAAGTTCACACTCTGTCAAATGTTTTCCGTTTGACAAATTTCATGAGTAAATATGATGCTTCTATTCAATTGATCCATTTTCTGGGTTGACTGCGTCCCATACAAATTACATTCTTAGTAAAATCCTAAGGATATAACTTCTTTCTGCATGGTTAGGCTGTTTAGCTTACAGGACAGGCAATTGTTCCAGTTGAAATCTATATTAGCTGGCAGTGCACATGTAAACACTATACTTGAGCATTGTTCTCCATAGGCCTATCCTGTACATTTTAACATTGACTGAGTAATCTCAGATGAGATATTTAAGCTGAAAACACTGTAGGCAGGTAAGAATTTTGTCAACTCTGTAATTGTTTATCATCATATATAAGAAATCAGACTCTTGACAAATGCATATTTCAATCTTTGAATCAAACCACCTTTACATATGAATATGATGAGTCATCAAGTTTGGATTCAATAAAAACATGTGAACAAACTGTTGAAAGAAATATCATTGAGGCCTTTCACCTGAGCATGGCATCAACATACTTGTATGGTATGTACCATGGCACGTCTCACCATTCTATTTTACTATCTTACTCAAAATCGGGTACAACTTCACACGTGCATCAAAAGTTCCATTTTCCATCTTTACAGTAAAAGACAATAAATATCACCCCTTATCATCACCTATTTTTTTCTGAAAATGAACAGCTGGACTATCATTGGTAATACATCAGGAAATACAAGAATGATTGTGCCAGTTGAAAAACCCTCAAAAACCCTGGTGTGTTGTTGCTTCACAACTTGTGCCATACATTGATAACATTCATGCTATGATGTTTGTGTTCTTCTTTTGGAAATGTCAAAATCTGACAATTCAGTTTGTGTGCATGCGTGCGTGCGTGGGGGGTGGGGGAGATGTCTCAAAACTCTAGGAAACGAGTTGGGTTTTTTTTTACAACAAACCTTTGAATTGCTACCTTATCAAGACATAAAAAAAAGCCATCATTTTAAATAATCTACATTATATCTTGTACACCTCAATTTCATTAGACGGTTTCCAGAGACAGTTTCATTTCCCCTGGTGAATATATGAAACATGAAACCAGTCCTTGATTAGCTCGCAACTGAAGGAAACTCATAAATCATGTTAACAGCATACCATACTGTAGTGCACTACCTAACCCTGTGACTGTAACACATCAAGTGGAGCTTATTGGGCCTAAGGCTGGTAATATTTACTGCCAACGATAATGTTGTTGGCCTGTCCAGGCAGCACAAACAACGTCAAACAGAACACAGGTGTCATGCAATTATTAGATTCTGCAGTAAGGTAATTATTTGTGTCCTTATAGTAAAATGCCTGGAACAAGCCTAGATAAACAACATACATCTGAACTATCCTCTGAAGCCAGGCTAAACTTTTGTATTGTATGTGACTGCCAAAAAATCCCCTTTCGTCAATCTAAACAACGTACAAATTATTCTGACAAAATCTAAAAATAACTATAACTTGAATTGTTTCTTATGCAGAGATAATTTGAACATCTATGAAAAGTGGAATTGAAGAAAATTTTAGATTGGCCTATCGCAAAAATACATCTCAACGATTTCTTTGTTTATGTAGTGCCATTCTGTGGTGGAAAAATCCAAACATTCATTTAAAAAATAAGACCTATATCAGTCATATATCATCTGACAGCACATGAACTCATGTAATGTAATCAATCAGTAGTTTTGAAACTATATACGCAAGATAAAGTATAAGCACATGTGATATATGTATGACAGATCTTATGTAGACAAAGCGCAAGATTCGTGATCATAAATGTGTAAGTATATATCACACAATGAGGAGAATATCAGATAATCTACTTTCCAATATTATGACTACAACACCTGACCTGGGCGACAGCCATCCTGACAACATGAAGCATGTTTTTATTTCACTGTCACTAACATAGCCACGTCGACAGGGGAACAGCTCAACATTGTTAGATGACACAAGGTCCCGCTGACTGGTAGGTAGCATTGTTAGATCATTCATGGTCCAGCTGATCAGTAGGTAGCATTGTTGGATCATACAAGGTCCAGCTGACCAGTAGGTAGCATTGTCAGATCATACAAGGTCCAGCTGACCAGTAGGTAGCATTGTTGGATCATACAAGGTCCAGCTAACCAGTAGGTAACATTGTTAGGTCATAGAAGGTCCAGATGACCAATAGGTAACATTGTTAGGTCATACAAGGTCCAGCTAACCAGTAGGTAACATTGTTAGGTCATACAAGGTCCAGCTGACCAGTGGGTAACATTGTTAGGTCATACAAGGTCCAGCTGAACAGCAGGCATAATGTTAAACTATATAATATTAGCATATTGCCTGTCCCTAATACTTATCACTCCCTCTGCCTAGATTCTCTCTCCCCATTCTCACCATAAAGTTTCCTTTTGAACATTTTAAGATTGAGTTAAATGTTAAGACATACTGACTACTGGTCTGTCAACAATCAGTTGGCTATCTAGATTGTTATCTATCGCAGCATCCTTAGATAACCATGTAACATCTCCTACTTTAGTTCCACCTAGTCCTAGGGTTAGGCATGTCCACAAGCCACCTATTCCCTTGACCAGTTAAAATCTGGAAGGACTAATTGTTTTGTCCCAGTTACTAAACAGATATGAGTTGTGGACAAGCAGAGATGACCTCCCTGTAGGCAGTATGTTCCTAACTGAATCCATGTTTTTGTTATCAGGGTAACACAGGTCCAAAACAACATGTACGAGAACTACCTGCAGAAGTCTACCCAGAAGCTACAGGATGAGATTCATCACACCATGAAGATGTACTCTGTGGAGAAACAGCAGCTTCTGAAACAGCTAGCCAGTCTCCGGCATAACATGTCCGAACTCAAGATCTCAGACACTGGAGTCAGTCCAAGGTTTTCAGGCAATGGGAAAAGTCCAAGGTACAGTGTTAATGGTGCAATACCCAAGCACATTGGGCGTGAGCAACATCGACTACCTCCTATTATCAAAACTGGGCTAATAGGTACTGTGTATCCCAACTGTGAGAAGAGCATGTCTGAAGAAGCGCGAGATCGGGATGAGATTGTTAATCAGAGACTTCAGAGAAGTGACACAGACCTTACATTCTTATCTGATGAGTTCAGTGGTGAGAGCAAACACAATGACAATGGTGATGTTGAAGGAGAATTCAAACTGTTCCCGGAAAGGAAGGTTCCAAAGAAAACAAAAACATCAAAGGATATTCCAGTTTTTAAACTGCCTCAGATTAAGGAGGAAGCTCCAAGACCCCTGTGGTACTCTGGCAACAACTCTCAGACTGTCAAGCAACGGGCTCACTCTCCACTGACAGCCCTGCCTCAGATCCATGAAATGAGGCAGATCTCAGAGAACAACTTTGACATACCCACCGTGAAAGACCCATTAAGATGTGAAATTTCAATTCCCACAAAATCTGTCACCAAAAAGGTCCACTTTGCTGGCAGCAACAGTGTCAGGAACTCTGATAGCCTGGACAAGACTAATAGTCACCTTCCCCAACTTTCAAAGAAAAAGTTCCAAATGCATAAACCTTCACGGAAGACAAAAAAACATTTCCAACAATTTCCGAATGTTCAAGAAAGTAGTTCTTCTCAATCTGACTCCACAGAGGCTCCGCAGTGTCAAGCTCCACAAGGTACAGAGGAGTGGAAGTCACTGTATGCAAATATCCATGACCCTGAAGAAAGGACAAAGACTCTAGGGGACATACTGTACGCTGTGAGGGTCAAGATGAGAGAAAATGAGCAGAACTTGATGTTTGGACACAAGCCAGTTGAGGACAAAACAGACAATACTCTTTGTGACTATTTGCTCGTTCACAAGGACGACCAGGACGGGATACGCAAAACACGGAAAATCTTGGTGAGTTCAGGATAACTGTAGTTTCTTAGGAGTGAGCTGCATATAAAGAAAAGTGTTTAAGGCAATGCAGGATGAGTGTGTGAGTTAGTGAGTATGGTTTAACACCGCTTTTAACAGTATTCCAGTTATATCGAGGCATGTCAGCTTAATGTGGGAGGAAAGCCCGAAGTGATGCAGGTCTCAGACATTCTGTTTCTTAGGAATATTACCTTACGAATAAATACTGGTTGACTTCAACTGTTAATATTATCAGGTTCTTGTATTGAAAATGGGCTATGAAATAATAATTAAATGATTTGTTGCACACTAATTACAAAGTAGGATGAATGATCAACTTCTTTATCACAACATGATGTTATCAGATGCCCATTATATTATTGTGGGTCTGTAGTATGGACAATCAACTTCTATTGTAGTCAGATGTGGCCATCTATATTATTGTGGTTCTGAAGTATGGACGATCAATTTCTTTTATCATCAGATGCCCCCTGTTACATTATTGTGGGCCTGGCCTGTTTCCCCCATCTTATCCTCATTATCATAGGTTGTAACATGTATACAAAATCTTCCTTCTTTTTATTTATCATGTTTGTCACAGTAAGATCTAACACAGATTGAGAGAAACACAAATCTGAGAATCCAGCTGATTCGAGTCCTGAAGCTGGCACATTGGAAAACAAGGACATTCTGTGATTGAAATCTTATATATCCTAGAATATGGAATATACTACTCAAAACAAGTTAAAGAACCCTTACAATTGGATGGCTGAGCTGCAATACCCACCAGCCACAACCGATTAACTAAAGTCAGATGAAAAAAGTTGTGTTCTTTAACTTCTTTTGAGTTGTATATATAAGAATATTCAAAATTAACCCTTTACCTCAAACCTTTACTTCTGACAATCTGAATATGAAACATTTGAACAATGAATTTTTTTGTTTTTAGTGCAATGATGTATTTTCGTAATATTACATTGTCTGTACACTTAGGAATTTATCTTTGCTCAACTTAGATGTGGTATTTCAATAGTTTATTGTTTAAAGGACCTATCAGTTTCACATCTCATGCCTCATATTTAACCTCTGCATAGACATCACAAAGATAGATTCACACCTGTCATATTTGATCCTTGTTAACGATATCCCAGTCATACTATGTGTCTTGGAGGACACCGAGAGGTCTGTGACACCAGTAGCCAGGACCCGAGTGTTTGCTTTATGATAGCAACATGGCTGTATTGCTAGGTGACTCAAGAGTCAACAGTCATCTGTACCCCGAACTAGCGGACTCCACAGGAAACGGGTGATAATATTAGATTACCTACTTGGCTGACATTACCCCCAGGCCTCAACTTCCTGATGGAATTAGAGGATATGTTTGTCAAACTTGGTCTTTGTAAATACTTTTATTCCAGGATTTTGTATTTTATTTGTCTAAGCATCCACTGTAAATCTTTTACCATCACCCAAGCAAACATCATCCTAGCCTTCCCTTGATTAATAACACTTCATGGCCCACCATTACCCCCTGCGAATCTGTTTCGTGACACAGTATCGTCAATATGATGCATTGATAAATATAAATATGGCTTGTATCATGATATGAGCCACAATGACCTAAAAAATGGGCATATAATATCAGCACATGGTTGAATAAAGCTCAAACTTGTTCGGGATGCTTTCTACATCGCTTCCACTATTCTGTTCTGTCACACCTATAAAACTAGAAAGGTTCCAGTCATATAGGTCTTATCACAATCGTATTCAGCCTGTTCCAAAAAAATTCTTTAAAAGCACAACAAATATTATTTTAGTCTATCCATAGAAGTGACATGTGAAACTTCAATGGAACATTCTTTTGCTGCATTCAGATCAAAATCTTGTAAAATATTCTTGGAATAAGAAATTATTTCAAGCTGACCATGTACAGACAAAGAGACATTCACAAGCTGGTTGCAGTTACCATCTGAGTGAGTGAGTGGGTGAGGTTATACGCCGCTTTTAGCAATATTTCAGCAATATCACAGTGGGGGACACCAGAAATGGGCTTCACACATTGTACCCATGTCGGGAATCGAACCCGGGTCTTTCGGCATGACGAGCCAACGCTTTAACCACTAGGCTATCCGACCGCCCCTAGTTACCATCTGATCTGCTGTCTTGGTCCTGCAACTGTTCTGAGCATAAATGTTGAAATTTCTCGGTTCATCTGAGAGCAGTTTATTGGGCCAGCAGACTGCTCGAGTCTCCCTGCAAGATTCACCTTATCTCACCTGTTTAGATTACATCCTAGTCATTGAGCATCCTTGATTCAAGGTTTAGTTGAGTTTGGGTCCCTTAGATACTTAAGGGTTAAGGTTGATGTCAGGGTTATGGAGTAGCACTGTAACTGAATATGCCCAGGAAAGTGCAGTACTCCCTTCTGAATATCTACTAATGCAGTAGATTAATGACAATGACCATCTTGTGTCAGCTATTGAACTGGTTATACTAATATAAGAGGGACACTGTCCAAATTTCCACTATGATTAGACAAACATTGAAACATTGTTCAACATACACAACTTAAGCAGTGTTCTGAAATATCAGTATTTCTTCCTTTCAGCACCATCACAAGCGAGGTCATATCCCAAGCCACACTGCCGAGCGACTTCATCGTCGGTCCAATGCTGTCCAGCTACAGAACTACCTGAAGAAGTTATCTCGACAACGGCGCATGATTGAACACATGGAGGGAGAGGAGTACAGACTCACACACATTGTAGGTCATCGGCAGCTGCAGGAAGCTGCTCACAAGTCTGTGCAATGACAAATGTATTCTGGAGACAGATCGTTTTTCCTGAAGACAGTTTAACCAGTCTTCAAAGCACTCAAGCTGGGGTTATAGTGTGGGCTGAATCTAAACTTAACATTCATTAGGAAGAAACTTTGGACAAGAATCATATTTCAGAAACTTCACAGCAATGAATGTGGAATATGTATTATTGCAATTTTAGGGTTCCAGAACTGACAATCATGAACGGCACCATTGAATACCAGTATTTTAGTTGCATATGCTACATTGACTTATCCAGGGCTAGAGACCATGAGTTGAACAAGCCAACAGCTTTCACTGGTTGTTTCTGTGACTTAATTTTAGGAGAAGTGATTCCAGATATGAACGAGTGGATCTCTCTGTCACTGCTTATGAGGGTTGTAAATCTCATGAAGATAATAAATGGGTTAAAATTAACAATTTGATATTTTTTTTCTCCAAGGTCAGTAGCATTTTTCACCAATAAGACAATTCTGTCAATATTCTCATTTAAAAATCCTCACATTCAGAACATAATGTCTTGCTTGTGTATGTCTTTCTGGAAACAGATATCAATATTTACATAGACCCATGAAGATCTGGGTTAGATTAAGCCTTCAGCAACCCATGCTCGCTGTAAGAAGCCTCAAATGGGATCGGGTGATCAGGCTCACTGACTTGGTTCATGCATGTCATTGTATCCCAATTGCGTGGATCGATGCTCATGATATCATTCCCAAGATTGTCTGGTCCACACTCGTTTATTTACAGACCGACATCATAAAGCTGGAATATTGCTGAGTGTAGAGTTAAACAACAACCAGACAATCCTGTAAATGCACTGCTATTAATGTTATCACAGTGTCATATCAGTACAGACAGTCAAAAATTCCATATTGAGTAAAAATATAAGAACAACATGTATACACAAGGGGAATGTGTGGTACAGGTGATGTGGGTAAGGAGGCTCTCACCAGGAACTAAGGAAGGAAGTGTGGAGGTCAGAGGAATACCAACGGTAGCTAGCATCATGCATCTCTCTCGCATTTCCCCACTCATACCCTGGCCACAAGGCTGTACATGGGTAGTAACACACTCACCATACATAATCTTTCCTCTTGATTAAGTTCTCAACCTTATGAAAAGTTAATTTCTCACAACAATTCCACTGTTTGGTTAAACACTTCTTAACAGTATTTCAGGATATTACAGAGTGTCAGCTTGATGTGGGAGGAAAACCCAAAAGTGATGCAGGTCTTAGACATTACCACTTTGGTGAAACACATGAGCATGGGTATGGTGCTATAAAACACAGAAACATAACCAGGGCCGATCTAGGATTTAGGAATAGGACGACCATAGGTGTATGGCAAGCAAGGGACACAATGCTGCACATCAAATTGCAAAACCTTTGACAACTGGGCCACATGTGACCCCTTATCTACAAGTTGTGACAATAACGTGTGATGTCTAACTGAAATAATCTCTTCTCTATGTCTGTATGACAGCTGTGAAGTCACTACAATTGTAGAAGTTGGAGCATATAGTAACACACATGCAACTAAAAGTCAAGCTACAAAAAAGCACAATCAAAGCATAGGTAAACTTTGATAAATAATGGAAACGAACATTTCTTCATCATAATATTTCCTTTAGTGCAAATCAATTTGGCTATTCACAATGTTGCATGCTGTAAGATAAGTACAGATTACATCGTGCCTCATTACATTTGTCTGTGTGTTATCAGGTAATGCTGGTCGGATCAGCTTCAAAGATATGTCAATCTGACATAATCTGTCCCTGTCATATTACGTGACCCTCACAGCAGAAGGACAGCCTCTTGACAGAGGCCACTATTTCCCAGGACCCTAGGGTACTGCATACATGTCATTACAATACTATTCCCTAATACCAGGTTCAGGGGTGAAACAAAAATATGCCAGTCAGCATTTCTATATGTTAAGTCACATGCATAGATCAGTGATGACCTCTTCACATTTTCTTAGCCAGGATAGTCTTTTCATATCTACTATATTAACACAAACAAATAGCACATTGCTACATGCAGGAAAGAACAGGAAATTAAATGGATTTAAATTCTTAATCCAAACTGTAAATGAAAACTATTTGCTCATTTATTTTAGACTATACGTATACATTTTGAGTCAAAGAATGTAGTGTAATGCCAGTGAGCAATATTCAAGCTGTATCACAGCAGTTTGTAAATCAGTGAGTCTAGACCAACCATTGACTGGATCAACATCATCAGGATGTGATGACCCATTGTCAGCAAAGTCACATTGCCTGACCACCTGATACCCATTTTAGTCTGGGTCAGGCAAAGAAATGGCAGAGCATTAGCAACACTCTACATCAGGATGTGATGACCAACTGTCAGCAGAGTCACATTGCCTGACCACCTGATCCCCATTTTAGTCTGGGTCAGGCAAACAAATGACAGAGCATTAGCAACACTCTACATCAGGATATGATGACCCATTGTCAGCAGAGTCACATTGCCTGACCACCTGATCCCCATTTTAGTCTGGGTCAGGCAAACAAATGGCAGAGCATTAGCAATACTCTACATCAGGATGTGATGACCCATTGTCAGCAAAGTCACATTGCCTGACCACCTGATACCCATTTTAGTCTGGGTCAGGCAAACAAATGACTGAGAGCATTAGCAACACTCTACATCAGGATGTGATGACCAACTGTCAGCAAAGTCACATTGCCTGCCTGACCACCTGATACCCATTTTAGTCTGGGCCAGGCAAACAAATGACTGACAGCAGTAGCAACACTACATCATCACAGTCTGATGACCCACTGCCTGCCCCGTCAGATAGTCTGACCACCCGATCCCCATTTTGTCAGCTCTAATAACAAGGAGGAACAGTGTTCCTTTAATGGCCAGTTGACCACAGGGGTGCATGCATAGATTCAAAGTGACAAACACACTTCAGATATACAATGAAACCTCAATGAATTTAAAAGGCATCTACAAGGCATAGCATTGGGTCAATATAGTGACTGCTGTCTAAATATGCAGCACCTGTACAATCACCAGGCAGGGGTATAGCGTGTGATCCAGGTCCTGAACACACAGGAGGGTATAGGCCTCTTCCTGGGAGAATCTCAGTCTAACTGACAGGTACCCCACACCAGGGGAATCTGAGGGTTAACAAGCTTACCTTGGCAGCCTTACTGTATGTCTTAGTGAAACAGACATTTGGAGATCATGAATCATAGAAACTTTACAGTGAAATAAACATAGAGTTATCAATAGAGGCTAATGAAATAGAGGTTGTAAGGCAGATGAATACATATATACAGGGTGCGAAATAAACATATCCGTTGGTCTAGACTAGTGATATGTCCTTGTGGACTACCACTTTTACCATTTGGTAAATGGCATCTCTGTAGCTGCTTGCTTTTGCAGCGAAGTGAAAACAAGAAATAATTTCGAACCCTGATATATCAGCATGTAAGTGAGTGAGATATGTCAACGACTGGATGTGAGATACTTTTATTATGCAAGCCTAAGCATATTAATCAGGTCTTCATGAAACACAACGTACATATTTTATGTATTATCATGAATAGAACAGCTTTAAGACTAGTGAGTGCACCTTTTAGCAAAACTGCAAATATGCTACACCACAGAACATGAAGTATGAGCTTCCATGAGCTCTGTGAGGGTCAGATCCTGATACAGTTGACTTTGGTTTGATCTGGCTTTGAAAAGTATTTCACTTATATTGCAGCTTAGCTTGGTGAGAATGTCAGAAATGATGCGGGTTTGGTGAAACCAAAAAGCTCAAGTACGCGCTGGCAAACCAAGAATACTTCATAATCAGGGCATAATTGGGATCCTTCAGACCGCCAGGCAAACCGTGGCCCCTTATATATAGTTGGGTGCTGAGATACCAATGTGCAGTGATCTCTTCAATATTATGTATGAACTCATTTCTGAGGAACTTGTACTTGTAAGATTCTTTTCTTACTGTATCTAACTTCAAAAAGAAAACACCCCAACAACTGAAATAAAACACATCCTCAGCAATAAAGAGCATTAAAAAAATAGACACCAAAGCCTATTATTTCATAATTTTCCCGAGTTCCATCAGATAAGCAAACAAGTCAACAAGTTGCAGACAATGAAACTAAAAGAACATAAGACAACGTAAAGCAAGCAGATGAGACTTTATTAGTGGCTGTTACATGCGGACTTACATTGAACTAGATCGACTCCCGTAACGGTCGGAGTAGTTCTTCCTCCTCATCACGGGGGAGGGTTCTGGGCTGTTACGCTTAAACTCCTTCCGTCTCAGGCTGGGTGACGGACCTGAATCGGGGCGCTTGCCACTCATGGGCCTGAAACAACAGGAATGAGAACATTCTTACCACTGGTGATGCCGAATCTTAAGTATGATATTTTAGTATAAGGCTTCTGTGCCAGGTAGGAGTTGACCTACCCAGTTTAAATTAGTAATATATACGATATATATACTACTCAAAACAAGTCAAATTACACCCACAATTGGCAGGCTGTGTGCTGCAATATCCACCAGCTATGACAGATAACTATAGTCATATGAAAACATTGTGTGTTTGGAATGAGGTCCATGTATCACACTATTCAGTTGCAGTAGACCTGACCATATTCAGGGGATGGGTATTGAGCTATTTGTCCCACCTGGGTATTGAGTTATTTGCCTTGAGTGACAGATCATGTCTCACCTGGGTATTGAGCTATTCGGCTTCAAGATCTGAGACTTGGGAGGGGGCATCAAGATGGTATCTGTCCCATTGACCGACATGCCCTCCAGTTCCTCCTTGACCGGGTAGAGGATCTCCTTGTCCTCATCCGGAGACTCTAGAACAGGAAGCAGAGGCGGACAACCTTCCTGAGGACCCCCAGCATACAGTAGATCTTCTGGTGTGGCGGTCTTACGACGAGCCTGAAATGAGTTGAAATCTTAAGGCATTGGAATCAAAATATACAGTGAAACAACAAATTCTAATGTTGGCATCATTTTGAATCATGCTGTATAGTAAACATCAAAATCACCTGTACCTGTTTAATATTTTTGCAATTCAGGAGCTCTATGCTTGATCATTAACTATTAATCATATGCACAACATAAATTACTTAACAGTATCAAGCACACCTAAATCTTCTTTGAATTCCTGTATTCCTTACTTTCAAAGTAGAAAAGTCATGACGTATGATTCAAATCTTTCACTCCCACAGGTGATTCTGATTAAAAGCAGGAGCAATAACATATTTCATTTCCATCCGAATATATAGCACTGATATCAGTAACACTGTGACAACATTAATATCAGTGCATTTATAGGATTATTTGTTTGTTGTTTAACGCCACATTCAGCAATATTCCAGCTATATGACGGCGGTCTGTAAATAATCAAGTTTGGACCAGACAATCCAGTGATTGATATCATGAGCATCAATATACCCAATGGGGATACGATGACATGCTTCACAAGCATAGGTTGCTGGTGACATCTCGCTGTGCATTGTTTATTCATTACAGTATGTATACAAACACGTCATATGTCCTTGACATGATGTAACCTTGACCTTTCCACACCCGACCTGTGTGCAATGTGTGCATCCTATCTGTGACTACTCTAACGTGAGGTCATGCCAAGGTCACCAACACATACCCATAAATATGGTAACTCACTTTTATCTCTACAAGAAAAATACTCATGGAATATTGAAGATTGTTATGTTGTACAGCTGTCAAATTTGTCTTACATGAAAAAGAATCTGAAATCTTATGTAAGAAAGTGTATCTGGGTGTTAGTTGTCAGTCAATGTTTCCCACATTTATTTTGTGACAAATTAATGATGAACACGGTTGTCACAGACAGATGTTCAAGAATGATGGACGTTTTGCAGTGTTATCTGATGGTTAGTGGTCATTATTATACTGATAGTTAAGCAAACAAATGAACAAATGACTTGTTAACAGATAATAGCATACTTGGCTGGGGTCACAAAGACACTTTCAAGAGTTTATGCATGATAAGTTGTGCAAAACATGTCAATGAAGTCTCTAGCTACAATAATAGTTACATGCATTTCATATTTCCATGCTCTTCATGAGACAAGGTGAAAGAAACACCGGACACCATCCTATAAGACCTGTCTGCCAAATAGTCTTCCTACTGGATCATTGTCAATTATTCTACTGTACTCTTATCGGTATAAGTTCTGGAACAGTATTGCAAAACGGTCCTGCGCTCTCAAGAAAGAACAATGATTGATTCTGGCTTTAGGCGAAATATGTGATACTAAATAATTCTACTTCATATGTAGAACTCCACTGCCACTCAGTAACTACAGTGAAACCCAATTAACTTTGAACTGTTTCTCTGTTCACAAGAATCTATACCAAAACGTTGCAATAACAGTATAATTAAAAAGTAGTTATCCATAAAACATATTTTTCTACTTTGTCATCCGTCAATTTCTGAGAAATGCCTATCAACAGTGTGTTAGTGCTCCCCGGTTTGAGAGAGCCAGATTGCCAACATCAGACCATATTGCCAACAACAGACAATATTGCCAACATCAGACCCGATTTTCCTGCTCAGTAAATCAGGAGATATTTTTTAAATGAATTCCATGTGATTACACAATAGATATTGTTTGTTGTTTAACGACGCACTCAGCAATATTCCAGCTACATGATGGTGGTCTGTAAATGATTTAGTCAGGATAAGACAATCCAGTGATTGATACCATGAGCATCAATCCATATTATTGGATACAATGACTTGCATCAACCAAGTCAGCGAGCCTGACCACACGATTCCGTTAGTCGCCTCTTACGACAAGCATAGTCTCTACCCGGATCTTAAGGGTCGGTTACACGTTAGGTGTCCAGCAATGTCTGTCATACAAAGTACATAAAGGGATAGAGTAGTCACGCTCAATGTCGTATAAGTGTCAACAAATTCGAGCGGCATGGGACATTGCTCAAAATATCAACCACTGGTTTGTCTGGCCTTGACTTGATTATTCACAGGTCATAGTCATATACCAAGGGTGTAGCTGGGTGCGGCGTTTAACGACAAACAATACAAATAAAATTCAAAAGATATGCTCGTATCATTAATGTGGTTCATGTTAATGAGGTTTCACTGCATGTTACATCCATGTAAGGTTAGCACAAGTACAGAGCCTCCACTTTTCATGATTAAGTTTAATAGCACTAAATGAGTAGCTGGGGGTAGCGTGGTATTTTTAGCTACACTGTACACCTGTATTACAAGTAAGTGAATTGGACAAAGGAAAACAGTACATTGTTAGCATGTTCATCTGTGGATGCTCACAGTTGCAGTGTTAGCTAACATCTGTGAATGTTGAAGGCCCTAGTATATGAATAGAATATTACTACCAAAGAAAGTACATTATGACAGCTTGTCAGACTCCTATACTCATCTATGCAAGTTACCAGGTTACCATCTATACCAAAGAAAGTACATTATGACAGCTTGTCAGACTCCTATACTCATCTATGCAAGTTACCAGGTTACCATCTATACCAAAGAAAGTACATTATGACAGCTTGTCAGACTCCTATACTCATCTATGCAAGTTACCAGGTTACCATCTATACCAAAGAAAGTACATTATGACAGCTTGTCAGACTCCTATACTCATCTATGCAAGTTACCAGGTTACCATCTATACCAAAGAAAGTACATTATGACAGCTTGTCAGACTCCTATACTCATCTATGCAAGTTACCAGGTTACCATCTATACCAAAGAAAGTACATTATGACAGCTTGTCAGACTCCTATACTCATCTATGCAAGTTACCAGTTTTTACAAAAGGTATATCTACATATTTCTATAGATCTAGCCCTGCAGTCCAACCACTTGGCTCATCACCAAATGTATGAATGAAAACTGTCCCTCAAATTTTCACTTCATTGGTACGTCGAAAACAGCAGTTATTCCCCTTGCAAAGAGATCCCCACACAAGGAATAAAGTTTGTACTTATCATTTCGAGCTGCTGTTTGGTGCTATGTTTCAACAAGCATGTTTGTGCATATGTTTTTGGTGTTTCCCATACAGAGATAAATAGATACACAGACTACTTCATGCTGAGTATAGGCCTGAGTGTTCTGAGTGGGACAGATGGTAAGACATACAGGACAGTTACAGTGTTAAGATACAATACTCTATATCATACTGTTGCAGACCTACCCCAAAGAGACGAAAAAACAGCTGCAAGATGGAATTTTGTTTTATTTTTGAAAAATAAATATGTTTGCTTCTTAAGCAAGTTGCATACATATTTGAAAGGGTATATATAGCCATAGCTTATTCCAGGAAGAATATGACAAATGCAATCTAGAGGCAGGTTAATTTTCCTAGCTGTGTGTGAAACAACAATTTTTCTTAAAAAATGTATGACCTTTTTTCATGAATCATTTGATACTCATAATCTATTTCCAAAAAACAAACAAATCATGACTGGAATTCATGTGTCTAAATCCTAATCGTGTGCAACAAGACACAATGTATGGTGTTCAGAATAATGTGATATACACAAGAGAAAAATATTTCTGCCTTTCAAAATGTTTATATATATGTTGATATATTCGTCCATATTTTTTTTTTACATCTGAAAAAGAAGGCATACATAAGAAATGCAGTAGAACCTCGTTACTTAGCTCACCAAGCAAATGAATAGACCTGAATGGCAAAGAAAGAAAATTACCGTAAATCCTTGAATAAACACCCTGAGTTTATATATTTTGGAAGGTCCCATGGACAATTAATACAGTGATGATTACATATAATGAAGGTGTTTCTTCAAGGCAGAGGGTCGTTTGATCCAGTGTTGATTTAAGGCAGGCATTTATTCAAGGATTTATGGTACAATGTATCACATTCCATGTTTTGCAAAAACAGGCGATCTTATACTAGCCAACCATCCCCACAAACGAGGTTCCACATGATTTCACAAGGAGTATTTAATGCAAAAAACACAAAACAAATGCACCTATTGGCGGGGGGAAAAACCAATAGATTCTCACATAATTAATTGGAAATTTGGTGAAGGTGTTTTTAAAATAAACAGTGAAATATGCAGTTTTTCCATACTGGTGTAGATGAGAACCAACATTGCTTTTTCCCTCAGCCTTACAGTAGCATACCACACAAAAGTGACAGAACAACACGCTGAGTACACTATCTGTGGGGGTCGTCCTCTGTAACTGCTAGTGTTTAAATCTCTGAGCCAAGTTATCATTTACTGAGTTGACCCGTGTTAACGATATAGTAACACACATGTACCTGCACATGCAAATGCAATTCTAATATCATTTCATTTATATTGAAATTGAAGTGTCTTTTACCACAATTCCTGAACATGCTCACGAAACGTTGACTGGTAAATGATTCCCAACATTTGTACTGATGCTATTGGAATGAGTTCAGAAAGTGTTCACGGATTAATTAGTTCTATCACAAAACTATTCCAAGGTGTTAACATTTCTTCAAAATATTAAAATATGTCACTTTCCCCATACAGGTACAGAAGACGAAAACCCACAGTAATTACAGACTGTTACAACAAGAAGTTACCTTGGTCAGCTAGTTTCTGTACATACCACATGACATCAGACACTAGCCTACACAGCCACTTCCCAACCTTCTCAACTCTTAGTGTGACCATTTTTGTACAAAGTAAATAAAGCAATGGTATATTGGCTGGCACTTCTGACCAACACAGCTTCTATTTGTTAACCTAAGTACTTTCATATAACAGTGATATCGGTGATTTATTCTGTTCATATTTAGTGATTGAAGTAACTATAATCTTATCAATTCCATTCACAAATATCACACACAGATAAAGGACAAAACGTTGCACTCTTGCTCTTATGAGAATTAAACCCATCTAGAGCCACACCTTGGACCACTGTGCCACCTGTCTTAGGTGATTCCCAAGATATATGATCTTACAGTTGATGTACTACTGCAATGAACCATTTTAGAAGGATTCCCATTAGATCAGAAAAATCCATCAACACATTACTGCTCAGTTTCTGCCGGGTTTTAAATCTTCTCGGTTTACAAGCATTGCACAATTGTAATGGTCACACTCACTCATATTGATTGTCACAAAGAGTTCTCTTAAGAGTTTTGTTGAAACAAAAAGAGTTAAAAAGGTTGGTTGGCTTACAACATTGAGAGTTAAACATTTATAAAGATACCTTTGTTACCAAGAAATTAATAGGCAGCAGAGCAGCACTAGAATGGTCAGGCACCTGTACACGCCTTGCTACCTCATTGTGAGCTGCCCTGAAGAGCGACAAGCAAGGGAGGTAACTAAGTCTACATCAGCCATTACACACACATAAAACATGACTGGGGACAAACAGCATTACATGTTAATGAAATAATGCACTTAATATATGTAGAGGAATACAAATTATGCATTCACAGCTTATGAAGAATAATTTTCAAATGAACATGTGACAATTGCCTTTCTGTTCAGGAAATATGTCAAGAACCAGCATTTTGGTGAGTAAAATAATCGGATTGTTGTAAGAATTTCTTCTGAATATGTTGTCAGCTAATAGATGTGATAAAAAAAGTTTAAAATTTTTTGATTCACATGTAAAGAGTAATTTAGCATAATTTTTTGCGTCTTGTGTATCTTCAATTCTCATCTGTAGTGATGTTTGTCCTCCAGATTAATAAAACAAAACAAGTCAAAAACTCATTCCAAAATGACCACAAGCATCCCAGATCTGGCCTGTTCATTTGTTTGAGCTGTGATATGTTAGTACTGACCTTTTCTTTCTTATTGGCTACATCTCCTGCTGATGGAGGTCCGACAAACACAGGGGGCAGAGGTGCCTCTAACATGCTGCAGCCAGAGACGAGGGGGGTGGGGTGAGTTACACAGACATGGCAGTCACAGAAACCACAGGATGTGCTCAGTCAAACATACTAACTCACAAAACATAGAGCCAACATGTGTGCTGCGAACATTGAAATAGTTTTTGCAAATTTACACTGAAGCCACATGGCATTTAATGACAATTGCACTGAGGGTACAATATAAAATACGATGAATGGATGAGTACAACTTCGGATCAATAATGCAAATTAAAATAAACAATTTGGCATGTTTAATCAAAACACTTATAAATAAAGTGATAAACATTTTGCACATTTGAATTAAACACTGAAATGCCTGAGTTAAAGCCAGTTGCATATTTTACAAGTTTTGGCACGGATTGAAATCTAGGTAGTATGTACAGACTACCAAGACACATATGACATTGCTCAATGTTTCAATATTTGCCAAAAGGCACTACAGAAGAACAGTTTGGCGCAAGTAATTTGGCAAATTTGATCATGGAACCTTTGAGCACATCCTGGAAACTAAGGAGACATGGCACTGGCAAATCATTACATCAAAAATGCACAGAAAAATCATATAAACACAACTCCTTTCTAAAATAAATAAGTGTGCATAATTGACCATAACTACATGCACAAGCATCACAATATCTAAGGATATTAAATGTGCATGACATCACCTGACACAAGCTACCATTTCAAGGAATGCTTAAGATATATATACATCTACAAAAATAAACTTTATAATATTCAACAAATAACATGTGTATAAAAGAGGCACTTTGGTGGAAAGGGAATCTAATGATCACAGTCAGAGTTGGAAACCATGCAGACTCAATTGGCGTATAACTGAAGGGCGACAAAACAAATCAAGACCGCAGCCGCAAATAAACAAAAGTCACTGTTTTCACTGAATCCACAGGAAAGGTGCATGATAGGGGAGGATTTGATAGGACGATACCAGTGGAGGGCAGCCCGCCCCGAGTAGGGAAGAGAAGAAAAAGAAAAAAGCGTGTTAGTTTATAAACATCTTGGTTAAAATATACAATAGTTACAACTTACTTATGGTCAGTGTGAGCATGCTTTGATTTCTAATCATGTGTGACTTACGATTCCAAAGCTGTTAGTAAGTTAGTACATAACATTACAATTGTAACTCATAATATTCGCTTTTTTCACATGATGCATATAAATATTTCAAGACAGATATCAAACATGTTTTGATGACAATACACATTTGTTCAACAAGAAATGTGGCATTATCTTTCAGAAAATGTGATTAACAGTCATCAAATATTGAATATAAAAATATTTAGATTTTTATGTGGCAAATATCAACATAAACAAATTAAAAAGTTACAAATTTAAAAAAAATACTTTTGAAGTAAAAAAACAGACATGTTGAAAAAAAATGGATTAATTTTGTTAGATATTGTTATTGACTTTCTGGTTAGTTGCTGTTTGAAAAAAATTAGTAACTTGGCAATTGTAGTGACTTTTGTTGATTTGCAAATAATAACACATTGTGTTTACAAACACGTAGGGTCCAGGACATGGGTTTTGTAAACAAGATGTAAACTGAACATCAAAGTCAAATCTCCTTCATTCCTCTGAATGACAAACAACCTTTACCATCCTTGGTACAACAGCAGTTTGGGAATTTGGATCAAATAAAAAAGCCAGGATTGATACCATTGGGGATTAAATAATGTGAAAAGTTACCGTAAAGACTGCCTGGCTTTTCTGTAATGTTCATGAATTCTCAACATTTCAGAATAAATTTGTTCACAAAATAAAATAAACAACTTTCATGACAGCAAATAGAATTTGTAAATTTGAAAGTTCCATTGGCACTTGAATGAAAGCCTACACATATATAAATTTGACCATGTCATCAGGGCTTTATATGATTAACAATCTCCTACTCACCTCTCTGCAGGGGAAGAGGATGCTGATGTTGTGCAGCTTTCAATGTCGAACTCTGCAACATAACAACATGAGCAACCAATACGATCATGTTAATAACAGCAATGTGTCCCAAAGATATTTGGAGCTGAATAGGTTCCAAGTACCTACACTTGTTGCAAGAGCTGATGAAGGATCAGATGGTAGAAAAGTGCGGCTGATGATGTTGATTATTGGTAACTGCTCATGTGCTATCAGAAACATGTTTCCCAGAGTTGGGTATATACAAAACATTTTGACAGGTGGCTTGTGGGTCAGTTAGTTCATCAAATAAAAGATCCAAGATTTCCTTCAATGGGAAAAATTGTCAAAATGTGTGAAACCCACGTCTTTCTGCTAATTCAAACTTGATCATCGTGATCTATCAAGCAATACATGCTTACCCAATTTACATAGAAACAATGACTCAATTTCACACAAAGCACACGTTTCCAATTCTAGACCTACACTGACAGTGACCACCGTACCATGCAGCCTAGCTATTGTCCCTTCAAATGCCTACTGTGTGTCCCAGCATTGCTAAGACGTCTCCACCCTTATCCGGTCTCTCTCTTACTTAACAGCAAGAAAGCTGTGTGTCTCACCATCGAGTTCGTCATTGTTGGACATCAGATTGTCCACCTCTATGTCCACATGGTCAATCATCATGTGTTTCAGCAGATCCTGTTGCAGGGTGTTGTTCAGTTCTGTCTGATGCAGCTTGGCTAGCAACTCCTTGGACTCGGAATCCTTGAGAGCTAGAGCCATGCCCTGTTGAACACATCAGTCCGTTCAAAAATATGCTGGACACATACCTGCCCACACTCACGCATACGGCCTGAGACTCACTATTCTGTCAAAATTTTAATTTTAAGTGGAATAAATTCTTGCTTATTTTCTCAAATATTCACTTCAATGCCCATTTCTTCCCTTGAAAAGTACTATATTTCATTGGCTTCTGAGAGGCACCTGGACCCCCACCTACTTCATCCTTCGAATCTATCAGGCATGTTACGCGTTTGAAGAGCTGTTGATACACAAATATACAGAATAGCAGCCTGATTGTGTGGAATATGGGCTGAGGGCAGCTGTGTTTTATTACCCAAACAGGATGTTAGTAATAAGACTGATTGTTGGCTGTTATTTTAATTAATAACATTGTCAAGATCAAAGGTTGTTTCACACATTTAACAATGTATACAATGTGTCTTTGTAGGATTTACAAAAATAGCAGAAATAGTATATGTATAACTGCTAAGAATCACACAATAGATAAAACACGGCAAACATAACAGCTAATGAAAACAACTGTCACTGCTGCCCGGTAACTATAGGCCATGCCCCCAAATATAATAAGTTTGTTTTCGGAACCAATTACAGAGCATGTGATTTCAGCACTTTCAATTGGGACATTTAAATACTACATGTATATTTAAATATTATGAATTTTTCTCTCTCTCTCTTGGAAATTGCCTAAATAAATATTGAAAATTGATATTCACAACAAAATCTCAATCATTTTTTCGTTTTACTTGCCCTTTAAACTTACAATACAGCATCATACTGTCAAACCACTACAAGGAATTATGCTGTCAGAGTGACATAATACATTCTGCTGGAGATGACATTGTTTTGTCATAATGACCAAAGGGAGGTAACTCTACCTTGTTGATTGAAAGCTGCAGGAAGTGGTCCAAAAGATATTTTGCCTCCTCCAGTGTCACCGTGGAGATGACAGCACCAACATCCAGGTTCTCTGTCTCCTCCTGTCAATAGATTAGTTGTTGAACATTGATGGTGCAATACTGCATGTACACACCACGGAAGACCTAATTATCACCTGGGGTACAATTAAGCAATAGTTAAACTGAGTGACAAACTCAGATTCAGTGAATTAATGAGTGCAGTCTTGCTCTACGACTGAAGGAACTAACTTCTTTACAGCAGGATTCATAATTACCACAAAAGACCCTAGGTCGAGACAAGTAAAACTCAGGAAGGACAACTGGCACTTCCTTGTTGAGTATACGTTTTACCATCAGGTAGATGGCAAATCTGTGGTAGATATCTTTCAAGTCTAGTAAAAATAAACAGTCTCACCTTGTAATAACTAATCCAGGTCTACTCCATATCACATCTACAGTGTGTTTCATCATTAAACTGCCAAACAAATTATGTACATTAGTCAATTCTTCCCATGGCCTCGACACTATGTCAGATTGTACAGACCATGGCATCTCCACTATCCCAGCTTGCAAAGACCATGTCATCCCATCTATCCCAGCTTGCACAGACCATGCCATGCCCACTATCCCAGCTTACACAAAACATGACATCCCCACTATCCCAGCTTACACAGACCACGTCATGCCCACTATCCCAGCTTACACAGACCACGTCATGCCCACTATCCCAGCTTACACAGACCACGTCATGCCCACTATCCCAGCTTACACATACCATGTCATGCCCACTATCCCAGCTTACACAGACCACGTCATGCCCGCTATCCCAGCTTACACAGACCATGTCATCCCCACTTTCCCAGCTCACACAAACCATGGCATCCCACTGTACCAGCTTACACAGACCATGTCATGCCCACTATCCCAGCTCATACAGACCATGGCATCCCCACTATCCCAGCTTACACAGACCACAGCATCCCCACTATCCCAGCTTACACAGACCACGTCATCCACACTTTCCCAGCTCACACAAACCATGGCATCCCCACTTTACCAGCTTACACAGACCACAGCATCCCAACTATCCCAGCTCACACAAACCATGTCATCCCCACTTTCCCAGCTCACACAAACCATGGCATACCCACTATACCAGCTTACACAGACCATGTCATGCCCACTATCCCAGCTCATACAGACCACGGCATCCCCACTATCCCAGCTTACACAGATCATGGCATCCCCACTATCCCAGCTTACACAAACCACATCATGCCCACTATCCCAGCTTACACAGACCACGTCATCCCCACTTACACTGACCATGGCATCCCAACTATCCCAGCTTACACAGACCACGGCATACCTACTGTCCCAGCTTACACAGACCATGGCATCCCGACTGTACCAGCTTATACAGACCATGTCATGCCCACTATCCCAGCTCATACAGACAATGGCATCCCCACTATCCCAGCTTGCACAGACCATGGCATCCCCTCCATCCAAGCTTAGACAGACCATGTCATGCCCACTATCTCAGCTCATACAGACCACGGCATCCCCACTCTCCAAGCTTACAGACCATGGCATACCCATTATCCCAGCTCACACAGACCATGGCATCCCCCCTATCCCAGCTTACACAGACATGTCATGCCCACTATACCAGCTTACACATACCACGGCATCCCCACTCTTCCAGCTTACACAGACCATGGCATACCCATTATCCCACTTCACACAGACCATGGCATCCCCACTATCCCAGCTTACACAGACATGTCTTGCCCACTATACCAGCTTACACAGACCACGGCATCCCCACTATCCCAGCTTGCACAGACCATGGCATCCCCACTATCCCAGCTTACACAGACATGTCTTGCCCACTATACCAGCTTACACAGACCACGGCATCCCCACTCTCCCAGCTTACAACGACCATGGCATACCCATTACCCCAGCTTACACAGACCATGGCATATCCATTATCCAAGCTTACAAAGACCACGTCATGCCCACTATCCCAGCTTGCACAGACCATCCCCACTATCCCAACTTGGACAGACATCCCTACTATCCTAGCTTGCACAGACATCCCCACTATCCCAGCTTGCATAGACATCCCCACTATCCCAGCTTTCACAGACATCCCCACTATCCCAGCTTGCACAGACATCCCCACTATCCCAGCTTGCACAGACATCCCCACTATCCCAGCTTGCACAAACATCCCTACTATCCCAACTTGCACAGACATCCCCACTATCCCAGCTTGCACAGACATCCCCACTATCCCAACTTGCACAGACACCATCCCCACTATCTCAACTTGCAATGTTACCTTGGCTTCCTCCATCTGCATGATGTTGGTCTGACACTCGTTGATGTTGTCCTGGACATACTCAATCTGGTTCTTCAGACTCTGGATCTGGTCACCCATGTCCCGGATAATATCAACATTCTAGGGGCAATAACAAAGGGAGTATAATAACCACTGATCTGTCAGATTCATTCAGGTTTAGCATGTCTGTACTCTACACACATGTAATGGTTGATACAAATCTCAATGCAATACAACAGTTTTTGGTCTGAAGACAAATTGAAATATCAGTACTTGCTGCAATGCTAAGAATGAATTCGAATTTTTTTATTTGTGTATTTATTAAGACTATGTGGTCAAATGTATTTTAGACAAATGTCGGGGGTATAACAAAATGTCACAGCCAAGTTACAGGAGGAGTGAAGTGAAGTGAAATTTGGTTTCACGTCACGTTCAAGATTATTGCACTTATGTAGCGACGTGCATGCACGAGTGTGTGTGTGTGTGTGTGTGGCTGCTTGTACTAATCCGGACTGATGCCGATTTATAGTGCTAGCTCACTGAGATACCATGCCGCAGTTTAACATGAATACCCCACTCAGACACAGTATAATGATTCCGAGCCAACCAGTCCTTGTTTTAGCCTCTTAATGCCGAGCGCCAGACAGGGTAACAACTAGGAACCATCTTTTAACGTCTTTTGGTATGACGCGGCCCGAGATCAAACCCCAGACCTTCCGCTCTCCGGGCTGACGCTCTACCGCAAAATCATGGAGGCGGTCAGTTATAGGAAAAGATTGTAGCATATCTCTCATCAACTTTATGATGGCTCAAGATCATAACCTAGCAATCTGTGGGCAAATTCTGTTAACTGCTGCCAAAGGCCAATATAATCCATGACGTACCCTCTGAAGTGCAATGTAGGAATCTCTCTTCTTGACAAACTTCTCCAGCTTCTTGCTCAACTTCTCCCTTTGCTGGAAATTTATACATAATAATCAAACATTAACATATGGAGTGAGGGAGCAACTGCGCAAGGACGGATCGCATTTTTGAAAGTGACTTGTTATTCATGATTATACCAATTAATACCTACTATATATTGCAGCACTGAATACAATGTTAACATATCTAAAACAATAAAGAAAAAAAATCAAATGAAACACAATAATGCCCTTGTAAATACAAGATGAATCCCTGTTGAAAGTATCAAAATTTGATTGTTCTGTTAAGTTAGTGACCTGGGCCCACTTGCACAAAGTGATCTTAGCGCTAAGATGATCGTAAATCCCATACTTTAGCATCAGTTTACAATAGTCTTAGCGCTAAGATCGCTTTGTGCAAGTGGGCCCTGGAGTTGACATCTTAAGTAGATCGAACAGAATACTGAAGATGCAGCAGTCTTACCTTCAGCCACACATCCATGTCCTTCTCCATGTGAGATATCGTCTGACGTCTCGTTATCACAGATCCAACCTGGAACAGACACATAATGTCAATACAGCATCAGACAGAAGATATGCACAGGAACAACAGGGCTATGGTAAGGCTAGACAATTTTTTTATATATAAACAAGATTTAGAAAAGAAAAGGAAGAAAAGAGTGAATACAGCAAGTCGAGTTTCGAGTTACTTCCCTTCCATTAAAGACATGGATTTCAAAGTAGACACAAGTTATGGATAACAACTTTTATTACTGTAAAGGCTACGTTTCGGTATAGATCCTTATACTGTCTTGTCTTGCTTGACAACAATCCATAAATTGTGTCTACTTTGTCATCTGTCAACTTCTAAGTAATGCCTATCAAACAATTCAGACATGGATTTGTAGCGATATGTCGTTTTTTCTGTCGGAAGTTTTTAAGGTAAATTGTCAACAGGATATTAGTAAAATCTAAATATTTTTTACATTTGTATACTTATCCTGCATTACTCCTTAATGCATTCACTGCTTACTTACGACAACTAGAAGGACAGCCCTGCGAAGGTCCTGGGTGAAGAAATAAAGTTGTTGTTCTCAAGTCCCAATCAGTGGCCTTCCGTCGCTGTCCTGTGACCTTGATGACACCTAAGGTCATCTTCACATCACTGCCTGTCGCCCAAGTTCTTAGAAAAACATACTTTTGAGGTTTCTGAAGCCAAAGTGGGGAGGCAAGTCTAACGACGGGTGGGCCTTAAGCGTAGTAATGCAGGATAAGTATACAAATGTAAAAAATATTTAGATTTTACTAAATTTTTTACTTATCCTGCATTACTCCTTAATGCATCTGTATCGGACGGTTTGGAGGTGGGTCAACCTTCAGAATACAGAAACCTCAATAATTCACACCCTGCAATACGACCCCATTTGGTCGATAAACCGTGAAGCGGAAAAGTTCAGACAAAAACGCCATTACGGTAGGGTTGTTCAAAAATCAAAAACATTGAACATAGGAATTAAAGAGAAATTCCCTATACACGCTTAGTAATAAAGAAAATAATAGCTATTCAGCTAATTCTTTACTTACTGCGTCATAGAGCCGTCGCTGACAAACAAGATTGTCTAATATTCTTCCACTGGTGGCGACTGAGTGACTGCACATGGAAGTTGACTGGCTCTGTATAGGGCGAGTTCATTATTTGCGTCAGTGGTTGGCAATCTGCAGGATAACAACCAGAGGGCCAAACTTCGAACGTCTTTGACATCCTCGAGAGTCACAACGCGAAGGTTATGACTAACGAAAATATGTGTCGAATCTCCAGAAATATCCTTCCGTGATTGTTCCAAAACCACAATTGCCGTGTTGAGCCCTGGTAAGGCTGACACCTTGAGATCTTGAGGGTAATTCGCTCTCGGCGAGTTCCGTTTGATGATCTCGTAGGCCTGAAGGATTACTGCGCGTAACCATATAGATATGGTGTTTGCGATTATGCGACTAACTTCTGTCGTGGACGAACCACGCCTTGTCTTGGAGCGTCGAATGAAAACTCGAACTGCTCGCACCGAGCCCAGGAGAACTTCACCATGTACGATTCCCACAATAGTCGATATCGGTGGGATGGTGAAGAACGGTCGGGTTGGCCTGGTAGTAGATTTTAGCAATAAAATCCCAGCATAACCCTAGATGTCCTGTTCCGTGCGTCCCATGCTCAAAACGGATCCGGGTTGAGTCGACCACATGTAGTTCGCTCACCCGTACCGCCATTGCTAATGCCAAGAGAAACCATTGTTTCCTTGGTGATGTCCAAGCTCCTCACAGCGATAGCCCGTTCGCGGAGCTCTCTATACTATACCGAGAGTGTAACGAAGGTGTCACGCGCTGGGAAGGAGCTTGAAAATGAGGATGCAATGAGGGGCTCGAAGGGGGCCCTCGCAAACCTCGAAGTACCACGTTCAAGTCCCAATCAGGTGGCTGGAACTTGGCCTTCTGATCCTCAAACCTGAATGAGCATAATATGGCCTGTAGTTCCGTGACCTTAATCACACTGTGATTTTCCGGAAACGGCCAACACTAAGATAATTGCAGCCAATTACGTAGTAATGGTGCTACCTTCCAAGTGTTTTTGGGTACGCAATGTAGGAGGTATTCCTCTAGGAATTGTGACGCAATCGTAGGGTCTTGATTCTTTTCTTCCCTGTAAAAAGTCTCAAGTGATCCCCACTTGTCATCGTCGTCTCTGGGAGAGTAACGATGAACTAAAGCTATAGCTTTGCTGCCCGTGTCGAAATAACCCTTCGCACCTAAACGCCTTTTAAAGACGAACCATGCGTGTAGACGTTGGGTGAGGCAATTTTCTGTTGAGGGTGGATGAGTAGGTTGGACCACTGTGAGAGGGGAAGTGAATCGTTTTAGATTTTTCCGAGCTTGACGAACTACCCTCTCGCCGGTTACCATGGTGCGACCAAAGGAGAGATCGAGATACCTTGTCTCCTTGATCCCCTGTAGCACCTTGGGAAGTAAAAGTGGTGGCAGAAGAGTTTTAGTTCTTTGCCCTTCCCAAGTGATACTGAACTCGTCCACCGCCCAAGTCTGCGGATCCGGCAAGGGGGAGATATACGTCATGAGTTGGTGGCCTAGGCAAGTAATAAACAAGTCAATGTTTGGTTGCCTGAATTCCTGAAGCAGTAACTGGAATGCTTCTGTGAGAAATTTCCACTCAGTGGGAGCCACCCTGTCTGGACGTGATAAAGTATCGGCCAGTATGTTTCTACATCCGGGGATGTGCTGAACTATGAACCTTAGTCACAGCCGATCCACTAGATGGAAGAAATCTGAATGTCCTTAGAAGTGGAGAGTGGGAGTGTGTTGTTCCCCGATTGCACAGGCACCACACCACAGTGCTGTTGTCTGTGGATATAGCGAGTCGGGCTAACTGTAGTTGATTCTGCCAATGTGATATAGCCAGAATTAAAGCTTCCAACTCCAAGTTGTTTATGTGCCACTTCCATTGTGCGCCGGGCCATAGCCCTGAGCTTATCTGGTCTTGTAAGTGAAGACTCCACCCCTGAAAGGGGACGTCCACAAACAGGTGTGTATTCGGGGAAAATCCGAATAAACAGACTCCGCAGACATTCAGCGCCACAAATTGAGGCTCTAGCTTAGTTGGTAGAGTGATGGCCTTGAGTGGATCCTGACTCCTGATGTAAGGGTTCAGGAAAAAAATTGAATTGGTCGCTGTTGTAAGCGGCCCATGCTAGTTAACTCCTGTGCCGAGGTGATTAACCCTAGCAACACTTGCCACTGGCGAAGTGTGTGTGGTTGGTGTAGAGTAGATGACAAAAGAAGTAGAAACTTGTGCCATCTGTCCCTCGGTACAGATAGGATATCCTGGTCTGTCTTAAACAGGTCTCCTATGAACTGAAGTCAATAGGAAGGAGAATACTCCCGACTTCGCCTCGTTGATTGTCTATCCCAGTTATTGACATGTGTTGATGATACAGTAGATCGCCCTCCATCTACGACTCGAACCAAGTGTTCGTCACGTGTAGATAGTTATTGGCTTCATTACTCCTGTAAATAGCCATAAGTGTCACTGACATGTCAAATGGGAAATACTACCATTGGTAGTGAACCCCAATGAACTGGACTTGAAAAGTCTACGGTTGGGATGGATAGTCGAGACTGATGAAGAATCAAACGTTCGTTGAACACAGAGATTGTGGATCATTCTCATTTTGTCTGGGTCCTTCATGAGTACCAGGTAGGTGTGAGGATAAAACCCCGGAGTAAAGACTGGGTTGTGAACCCACTCTACAGCTCTTCTTACCAACAGTATGTCTATGTTGGATTTTCCCAATCAAACTGTGGTCAACGGTGGGGTTAACTCTACCCTTATACGGACACCATGATATAGTGCGATAAGTACGAAATCGTCCTTGAGACTTGTCTCTGCCACTCCCTTTCTCAGTAAGGGAATGCTGGTCTTCCCTGAGAAACGCGCGTCTAGGCTTATAATTCCCTGACTTGGACTTTCCAAGCTTTTTGGGAACTTGACGTGCGTGTCTGCGATCTGTTCGTTGAACAGGGGAGTAGATGATCAAGGTTGACGTAATAGACTGCCCTTGAAACCAGCATCTCAGTTGGAAACGCTATAAAGTCTTGGGTGTAACGGTAATCACCGTCAGAACGGTCTCAAGATGAATTTTCCTGTGGTCAAACTGACGCTGTAGGAAAAACACCATAGTTTGGAAGTGATCTAATCAGATAGGGTTATCCTCTAATAGATTCTGATCCACTGCAAACATTGACGATATTGGTCGCTTAAATCACGGAGCAAATGTGAGTTTTGGAGAAGGCTTCCTCCAATGACCTCGTGGTGTCCCTCTTATTTACCCTGTTATCAGGGGAGGGCGTTACTGACACGAGATGGTCTGCTTCCCAATCGGGTACATGTGCTAAGCTGATCATGTGCCGGTTACGTAACCGAGTACACTGTAAGCCTTGGGCTAACGTCATTGTAGAGACCTTGATTGATACGCAGACGCTGCGCTCAGCGCAGGTCTGGAATGTTTGAACAGCGCTAAGCTGATCGTGCGTCACTGGCGTGATAGGAGCGCTTGGGTATCAGTCAGACGCTGCGCTCGGCGCAGGTCTATGCTGGATATGTTGGAACAGCGCTAAGCTGATCGTGCGCCGCTTGCGTAATAGAAGTGCTTGGGTTGTAGTCAAGTGCTGCGCTCGGCGCAGATAAATCAGACACAAAGCTCAAAAGTATTGACTGGATCAAGGCTTGTGTCTAATCTACCCCCATCATAGCATCTCGATACGCTGGTGCTGTCGCCGACGTCACAGATTATCATACATGTATCTGGAAGTGTCCGGCGGCTGAAAAAATAGGAGCAGTTACGATACTCACAAAATCCTCCGGTATTGTTGATTTCGGTGGATGGTGTACTTCTGCAATCACAGTCGTCATAATACCTGCCGATAATAACGGTTGGGTGGTAATGACAGAACCATATGTCATTCGCTATTCTGCGATAGTGACATTCCTCTCGTCTCACGACGGAATAACTGCAAAATATGATTGTGAGTAATCTGCTTTTATATAGTAAACTCGTTGGATTAGAGATTTACATAAAAATTACATTTTGAATTTTGGCGAGCACATCTACGTGCATGCCTATGACCGTGGATAAAGAGCTTTGGGCGATTATTCCACGACAATATGTACACCGAGAAAACATAATTATGTTACGCAATTAAACCATTTAAGAAATGGTACTGGAAGAATGCCGTAGAATTGAACAGTAATCTATCGGCAAAAATACGAATTGCAAGGGTATACAATATTTTTATATACGCAATTCAATGTAAACCAAGGCTATTTACATTTAGAGATTGGAGAGCACATCCGCGCGCAAACCAACCAATCGTGGATGATAATCTTGTAAGGTTTTTTTTCCACGACAAATAGTAAAATGCTCAAAGGTATGTTACGCAATGAAACCCTTGTTGATGAGATAATACTGGAAGAGTGCCGAAGAATTTGAACACTAATCTATCGGCAAATTTATGAGTTGCAAGGATATACAATATTTTTGTATGCGCAACCCAATGTAAACCAAGGGTATTTATATTTTCATTTAGGGTTTGGAGAGCACATCTGCGCGCAAACCAAACAACGTGGATGATAATCTTTGTAAGATTTTTCCCACGCTCAATCATAAGTTACACAATTACATATATATATGTATATTCAATGTCTGTACATATAGAGTAGGGAAAGGGCCACCTAAGTTGAATAACTTTTGCCCAATCCCGTTGACCATATATGTCAATAAAATATGTTTAAATTAAACACAATTACGCCATTGTTGATGAGGCGGTACTGGAAGAATGCCATAGAATTGAACAATAATCTATCGGCAAAAACTACGAGTTGCAAGAGTATACAATAGTTCATATACGCAACTCAATGTAAAACCAAAAATACCAACAAAAAACTATTTAATCGCATAAACATAGGTACGCAATAAAAGAATTGTTGATGAAGCGGGACTGGAAGAAAGCCGTAGATTTGATATTAATCTATCGGCAACCATATTTTTAACGAGTTGAAAAAGTATACAATAATTTTAGTATACGCAACTCACTGTTACGCCAAAGCTAGTAATATTTAAGAATATAAGAATATGTTATACATACGTAGCTGAGAATTGTAAACAATATGACTACCTTGGCAGGCAAACGATTGTAACACAATTCAAAATGGCGGCGAACAACAATATTTTGGCGGGAAAAAAGACAAGCGTCTTTTCACGCCTAATTAATTCACATAAAACTACACAACATGGTGAAAGTAATATGAAAAGAATACATCACCCATCGCAGATCAATTTTTAAGATTGTAGACAAACTGAAGGTCTAAAATTAATCCAAAAGGAGAGCTCCGCTTGGACACGTCCTAGCTGTGCTGCGACAAGCAGTGATGTGAAGATGACCTTAGGTGTCATCAAGGTCACAGGACAGCGACGGAAGGCCACTGATTGGGACTTGAGAACAACAACTTTATTTCTTCACCCAGGACCTTCGCAGGGCTGTCCTTCTAGTTGTCGTAAGTAAGCAGTGAATGCATTAAGGAGTAATGCAGGATAAGTAAAAAATATAGTCTTATATTTTATTTATATCAACAGTGACATTAAATGAGTTGTATTTATAACATTTCACTTATTTCCTCTGGTCAGAGGAATAAAAAACACTGCTATTCATTTGCTTTTTGCTTTTTTTTAAATTTCAAATTTTGGGGGTAGTTGGATTTGTAAACAAAGTTTTAAAAAAGGTGTGGCCAGTGTTTCAGTTCTACTGGAGTGTCATGACTGATGAAAGGATAGGCCCTGATTCAAATCCACACTAACTGCAAGCACCAACTGCTAGGACTGATATTATGACTTGGGAAGGTTGACATGCAATCAAGTCACAGTGCCTGAATGCCCAATCCATTAATTCACCTAATAACAATTTCAGGGAATTACTGTCCATGGAAGGGCAGTATAAAAAGAAGTACTTACATTCTTCTCTATAATGTCCCACTTTTGTTTGGCAGCTTTTGGAGAGAACTCATTTCTTCTTCGTCTCCGTGGTGATGAGGTAGAGATAGGGTCTGAAATGATATTAACCATCTCAGCTGATATCATTTTACACAAACATTGAAACCTGTTAATAAGAAGACAGCGCTGATCAGCGTTTGTTGTTTAACACCACACTCAGCAATATTCCAGCTATATGACAGCAGCCTGTAAATTATCCGAGTCTGGATCAAACAAACCAGTGATTACTAGTGGCGTTTTATATCTAACATAAAGGAGATGTGTGTACCTATTGGAATGGTTGGTGCTTTTTCGTATTTGCCGATGCGCCCAGCAGCACGGGAGGACAGGGGTTTCTGACGTTTCCGCAGTGCCTCCACCTCCTCCTGCTTCCGCCGCAACACTTGCTCCTTCTGGTTCTTTTCTCGCTCCAAGTTGCGAATCCGGTTCTCCTTTCGAGTAAACTCACGTCTCATCTGAGCGATCTCTTTGTTCCTGCGCGTCTCACTCTGCTTGTTCTTCTCACCATCCTCCTTTATCTGCTTCATCAGTCGCACCTACAGGAGTGAGTGAGTGAGTGAGTGAATGTTGTTTTACTCGCCAAGGTTTGGCCTTATCATAGCGGTCTGTAATTTACTATATAATCAAATCTCGGCCAGACACACGAGTGGTTGATATTAGGGCTGGGATGAGACCACATTTACTACCCAGGTACCCAACCTCCTATTACCTGTCTCTACCCAGGTACCCACTATAGGTCTCAAGAGATGGGTACAAAAGGTCCGATTGAGAATTGTTTGAGCAGCGCCCTGGCAAATAGTTAAATACAAGTAAAAAACAAACTGGTAATATATAATTGACTGAAGCTTTATCTTTATTCAAAGATATAAAAGTCACAAATTATTATTTGACAAATGATGATAGCGACCTATAAATGGAGTTAAGCAACCCCTTCAACATGGCTATCGGGTACGTTTTACAAATTTCCATTGCTCAATACGGATTCCAAGGATATATCTATCCAACATAAAGATACTTATTGACAATTGCATAATCAAACAGAAGAACATAAAATCTGAATATTATTCACAGCACAAGACCCATGATCTCAATCCATAGGGTTTCATATTACTGGGTGCCGTTGTACTAAACAACCTTAGCACTACAACTGTTGTAAGTCTGTGTTAAGGTATGGGAGTTACGTTCACCTTAGCCCTAAGATTGCTTGGTACAACGGCACCTAGGTCTTAAGGTTTTTCTTAAAATCTGACAGAACATCTAGGGTGGATTATATGAACAGTAAGAGACTACAGTATTAACTTCCAGCTAGACAAGCCAACCTACCTTAGTCTTCTTCATCTCCTGCATCTCATGCTGCAGTGTCTTGAGCTGCTTCTCAAAGTGACTCTGGTTGCGCACCATCTTGGCATGTTCCCTCTTGGCTGCCTGCATCTTCTTCAGCTCCAGCTGCAGGTCTGTCAGCTTCTTGGCAAACTCATCCTTCACCTTCTTCTGCTTGTCATTCGACTCAGACTCAAGTTGACCTGTGGGCAATAGCAGTCAATACCTGAGTGACTGAATATTCTTAATGCAGAAGTCAGCATTATTTTAGATCTATCACAGCTGCTGGTGAATAGTTTGGACTGCCTGAGAAAATAAGCAATGATCCTCTTTCTCACGGCAAGCATGGGATAGTGGGGACCAATTCTTCCCCAGAAACCCAAAGTGGTAATCAATTTTAATCAATTTAATCAATGGAGTATGCATGCCAGTTTGTGAATGATGAACACTGTATCAGTTAAGAATTGCTGACTAACCAACATTGGCTCGAACCTTGTCCCTCTCAACTTACCAACATTGGCTAGGACCTTGTCCCTCTCAACTTAGCAACATTGGCTATGACCTTGTCCCTCTCAACTTAGCAACATTGGCTAGGACTTTGTCCTTCTCAACTTAGCAACATTGGCTAGGACCTTGTCCTTCTCAACTTAGCAACATTGGCTAGGACCTTGTCCCTCTCAACTTAGCAACATTGGCTAGGACCTTGTCCTTCTCAACTTAGCAACATTGGCTAGGACCTTGTCCCTCTCAACTTAGCAACATTGGCTAGGACTTTGTCCTTCTCAACTTACCAATGTTGGCTAGGACTTTGTCCCTCTCAACTTACCAACGTTGGCTAGAACCTTGTCTCTCTCAACTTACCAACATTGGCTAGGACCTTGTCCCTCTCAACTTACCAATGTTGGCTAGGACCTTGTCCCTCTCAACTTACCAACGTTGGCTAGGACCTTGTCCCTCTCTATTTCCGTCTCCTTGATGCGATGCTGCAGCTGTATAACCTTCTCCTCATACTGCTGCTTGATGGCGTGGACCTTCTTCTGACTGTGCTCCAGCTCCTCAATCAGGCGCTGCTTGATGGTGATCTCACACGTCAGCTCAGCCAGGTCCTCATGGATGTGGTCAGAGTCTAGGAGCAGCAGAATACCAATAAGTCATTTCACGGCCTGTTCCAGGATTCATACCTACATTCAAACTGTTTGAATGGCATTCAAGAAGTTGGTGAGTAAATAAGAAAACGTACAACTCTAGCTTGACAACAGTGTAAGAATCTACATCAAAATGTCTCTATATGCAATAAACCAGACGTTGTTACCCATAAAGTTGTATGTTTTCTTTTTTACCTACATGTAGTATTTTAAAAAGATCAAAATGATTCATAAATTTTAAACATCTTAAAAGTATTGCCATCCTGCTATTTCGAGGAAACAGTATACTTAAAACAACAGAGAGACAGTACTTTCTGCATTATAGACAATAAGACATCATGTATAATTTTGTTTCTTTATCAATTATTTTGAAATATATTGTCATGTAATCATGCCTCTTATTAAAACAGAATCTTCAGTTTAGCACTATTTTACAGGTATTAGTAAATTCATAGAAATATTATATTGTGATGAATCCAGTCGATGACAGACATGATTTCAATGTTTATCTGAATATCTCTCAGCAATGGTATGTGCATTGTGTACTAAGCAATGACATTGGTGAAGGGGTTTGTAAGCATATGTGGCCAGTTACTGATTACCAGTTGTGGTGCAGTACTTGTTCATAATCCTTGTGTAAACAATTAACTGATCAAAGAATGAAGTTTCAAGGAATGTCATCTCACTTCAACACAATGTCGCCTCCTTAAAGCTATAACAATTCTACATTTGACTACAATCACAAACTTTCGAATCTTGGGCAAGCCATTTTCACAACACATTTACTAAATGAATAATATTGATATTTCAAACACGGTATGTTCTACTCTGAAATGAAAAAAAACCATGCAAAGTCATGAACTATAGGGTACAGTTTCAACAAAATAGTACTGATTATGTATTTTCAAACATAGAGACATCGACCAGAGTGTTGAACATTCACAGGAAATATCACAAACACCATAAAACCATAATGTTTCTATATCACAAACTCAAATGTCCTCAGAATACAGACCTCAGTGGCACATTGTGTGAAATGGAGTTTGAGGGTGCAGAAATAAAATGAATTCACTGTACAAATTCACAAGCATGTTACAGAGGCCAACATTATATCCCAAAATATCACTGCTTTTCAAGAAAAATATATTCATGTCATCTCTGGAATAAAGATCTAGTCTTGAACATGAATATATTCCAATATATTCCATACTAACAAAGAAGGAAAAAGCCCAAATTCATCAAAAGGACATCAGTCTTGGGCTACCCACTTAAATAGAATTCCCACATTCAGAACTCATATATTTCTGAATATTACTATTTGTATGTTGCAAGAATTATTGGTCTATACATTAATCAGCATCATCAAAACAAGACCGGTTTGTATACACTACGTTCCTCAACCACTGGCTAAGTCACCCCGGATAGTTCCAGCAAGAGGGAAACCGGCAAGTCCTCTGACCAATGAGCACTCAGATTACATGGCACAAATGGCAATATGTCTCATGCACACATTCTTGACATATTACTGAAGGGTTCGCACACAACTTATGCACAGAGTAGGGCTCATTTGACTTCCATGATTAATGCATGGCTTCTTTTTATTAAACGACAAAAAATAGAGATGATTCTATACTTGACTGTATATCAGGTGATGAGGAATGTAAGTGCATACAAATCTTGTGAAGTAATGACAATGTTATTCTATCCTGAACCCAAATTCAGACAATGTTGGCCACTGCAGCATGGGACACGATTCTGGCAGGATATATGTTCTGACTGTGGAAAGCACATCAGGGGAGACAACTCTACCTGACCAGAAGCGACCATAATCCAGGAATAGTTCAACTGTTAAGAAAATGTTACTCCATTCTTACAATAATTATGACTGAGATATAGGTCCACCCATGATTACATAATCAAGTTCAAATGTTGTTACATCTCTCTTAAGAAGATAGACACATGACAATAAGTCAGCTTTAATTTTTAATTTATTACCATTCCAGGAACGTGGTGTTGGTCTGATACTTTATATTTGATTCAGAAAGCCTGGTGTTAAAAGCGTTAATTGTTAATATCCATCAACTACTTAGAAACAACAGTGCCTACAACTATCAGCATGTTATACAGACCTTTATCATCATCGGAGTCGGATTCAGAAGAGCTTACTTCATCCTCTGTTGTGTCTTCTTCGTTACCGTCTTCAATCTACAGAGCCATAATAATGACTACAGAGTCAATATCATTTGAAACCATAAAAGTTATTTTTGAACATCTTTAGGAAAAGATAACTGCGAAAACCAATAACATGATATATGGTACATTCAAGATTCCAGAACTGTTTTTTATGTCATTCAATATAATCAATACCATTATTATGTAAACATATATGTGACAATATATCTTTGGGACAAATAGATCTATTGGAAATAAATTCACAATGATACTTAACGCTGACGACAGCAAAGGGTGGTAAGACTTATCGTACAGGGCCTCACTCCACAAAGTGATCAAAGCCCAAAGATGTTAGAGTATAGTCGTTGCCATAGGATCACTTTGTGGAACGAGGCCTAGGTTTATTTCCTGTCTTAACAAGTCAGATTCTCACATCTTCCTCGTCATCCTCCTCATCCTCCGACTTCTCCTGACTCTCTTCATGCTCCACCTCCCCTGCCTCCTCCCTATTCTCCTCCAAGTCCTCCGTTGCTGGCCTCTCGCCCCCTCCTTCTTCACCCTCATTCTCCTTATCACTTCTGAAAGCAGGAAGAATGCATTTCAACATCTCTTACTGGTTTGATCATTCATTACTGACTTAAAACAACACATACATACAGTGAAATCACCTTAAACCAGATAGTGCTCCATCCAGTGCTTAACGCCGCACTTATCAATATTCAAGACATGTGACAACAACCTGTTAATACTTAAGTCTGGGTCATGAAGCCAGTGATCGAAACCATGAGCATTAAAACATCACAAAAATACAACAGGGTGAGCCCGGTCACACATGGTGTCCACTCCATCCTCATTACAGTCAGCCCTTACAACAAGCAGAGGGTAATGGTGATCCATCCTGAAATGGAATCCCACAGAAAACTGTGAAATTATTAAGTTTCCATCCCTTACCCCTGATTTGATTGCCTTGACTTGGACCTCTTGACTTTCTTGAGCTTCTTGACATCCTTCTTGGCCTCCTCAATGAGCGACATGACACTGTTGTCCGGGGATAGGGGGTAGTCGAAACCCCCAGAGGGCGGGAATGAGGTCGACATTGGACTGACCATCAGTCGAGAGGGACTACGTGCAGAATATTTCTGGGCCTGCGTAACCATAGACGCTGACTCTGCCAGTTTGGCCCTGAAAACAGACACCAGATATTCTTTCTTCATCAAATACATCACGCCTAATTAAGTCAATTACTGCATTGGCATTAAGTGCCTTTCTAAAATAAACACCCTCCGACCAACTTGTAGACTAATCTAGAGCCCCCTACTATGACTGAAAAATTTACTTAAAGGGGAAGTGTACACGCAAAAGTTACTTTCTTTCTTTTTCTAAACAAAACGCAAGTTTAGAATTAGTTAGTATCTGTGTTTGAAAATATACACTCATTTTTTCACAGTGAAAGTAGGAAGCTCACAATAGTGTGAAAATGATATGCCGTTATGAGGCCTTCGTTTTTCGAGCTAAACAGGCCTGAGTTATCCCCCTTAGATTATGACGTAATTGGTGCCAATTCAACTGGGTCCCTGTCTATTCTCAACGCAAAAGATATCAAGTACCAGTTTGCGGTAAAACAACATGGCCTACGACACACTCCGGCGCAATGGTGACTCAGCATAACACTATGCTGGCTGGCATCTGAGACGCAAGAATCACACACCTGTACCTACACCACGTGAAGCGGCTCTAACAAAGCATGATGACGTCATAATGTTTATCAATTGGCACCAATGACGTCATATTGCAAGGGGCATAAGCCATGGTGTTTTTGTTATGGAAATAGAACACTTGGTAAATGTGAAAAATTTAAATAGCTTTAATGCGAAAAATATGTTGATTAATTATGATATTTTTATATTTTTGTCTATGACACTTCTAGGTTAACACTTTTAATGTGGAAAAAGTACAAGAAAAATAGGTTCATTTCCGTGTGAACTTGCCCTTTAAGAATCTGTATTTTCTTGTGTATATTATAGTAAGTGAGTTGGGTTTAAAGCCACTTTTAACAATATTCCAGTCACATCACGGCGTTGTGTATATTACAGATCATTTTACAGAAAACAGAAGTGTAGAAGGGGCATATTATTGCCAAGCTTTCATTTTGACATTTGAACAAAGTTTGTTCATTATTGCTTGTTGTGTATGGTCTTAATAAGTGCCCACTAGTCCACCAGTTTTGTTAATGTGAACTATATCATAAGAGCTAATAGAATTACAAAACATCGAGGGGAGGGGGAGTAGAAAGTAGACTTTCTTGGTTTCTATTCCTGTACCAGCTGGTCACTTATGCAAGTGATATTAGCTCTCGGCCCTTTGCATCCTTGTTTACCCAGTGCATCATAATATTACCAAACAATTACAACTAAATACTCTGATCGCTTTCACCACAATACCCTCATTTTCAGCTTGATTCCAAATAGGCAATGCTACAAATAGTAAATGAAGCTAAAGCGGCTTCCAGTGAATTTGTCGTAACTGAATGAAAAGAAACCTCAGATAATTGAGAATGAGCCCTTACACCCTGTACTAATGAGCATAGCATAAGGGTTAAGTCCCTATTACAAATATTCCAGGGATATAATAACAGGCTTTCTGCATTGGGTTAGTGGGCTGAGGATTACTCACATTTCACCAAGATGCAACTAGATGAGGGACCCTTGAGTTAATTTGATTATGTATTCAACACATGTGTGGGATTAACTATGTCAATAGTTTCAGTGTGTTTCAGTTTACTGTGTCTACTGATGGTAATCACCTCAGATCCTCAAGTTCTTTCACATAACCAGTAATCAAGTTCGTCACTGCCTCATTCGATGCCTCTCCTGTAAAAAGAGGAAATTAGTTTTTGGTATAACAAAAATTGCCAGAGTTAGTGAGTGAGTTAAGTTGAACGCCGCTTTGAACAATATTCCAGTTATCACCCAGCGTATCAGCTTAATGTGGAAGGAAAGCCCAAAGTGATGCAGTTCTATGGTCTACCACCTTGTTGAAAACCACGAGCATGGGTATGGTGCTGGCAAACCTTGAAACATTATCGGGGCGAACCAGGATTCGAACTCATAATCATACATTTCGGGTGTTTTCAAGGGATGCAACTCTGCACAGCAAATTGCAGCACCTTCAGCAACCAGTGCCATCAACATTGACCAGAAATGGTACATGCAGAGAGAAATAGAAAAACGTCTGGATTTTGTCTTTAACTTGTGTCATCAACTCTGACCTTGCTGCACGATACTGCGCAAGTTTAAAGCATTAGAAATCATTTTTTTCCTAACTTCCAGCTGCATCAAAATAGAAAAGGTAAAACTATCTATTTCTATTAAAGAGACAGATTTGATTTGATTGTTTGTTGTTTAATGCCGCACTCAGCAATATTCCATCTATATGACAGCGGTCTGTAAATAATCGTGTCTGGACCATGATATCATGAGTATCGATCCACGCAATTGGATTACAATGACATGCATCAACCAAGTCGGCGAGCCTGACCACCCGATCCCGTTAGTTGCCTCTTACGACAAGCATAGTCGCCTTTTACAGCAAGCATGGGTTGATGAAGACCTTCTCTACCTCGGATTTTCACAGGTCTAAAGTGACAGAGTTGGGATTAACAAAGTTATAAGGGTATGTCAAACACAATGACTCCGATCGGGGAGACCCTTGGATTCAAAATTTGTCAAGGTGGATTTCTGTACAGCGAACATGTCTATTAACACCTGTTTAAAAAAACACCTCAATAACTTTTGACAGTCAAAATAACTTTAGGGTATTATTGTTAAAAGCATAAAACTGTTCCAGAAGTGGGTAAACATACCATTAGCACCTGTAACAGAAAGAACAGCCTTCTCTGCCAGTAATTGAGAGTTCCTAGCCTTCAGTGTCTCCACTGTGTCGTTAAGAGCCTTCACTCTCTGACGCAGCTTGTCGTTCTCCATCAGCAGCATGTTGTTCTCATGGTGCATGTCACTCATGCTTGCCACACCATCAGTAACAACAAGCTTGCCCTGCAACAATCATGGTACATGTCACTCTCCACACCGTCAGCATCAACAACAACCTGCCCTGCCACAATCATGGTACATGTCACTGTCAGCATCAACAACAACCTGCCCTGCCACAATCATGGTACATGTCACCGTCAGCATCAACAACAATCTGCCCTGCCACAATCATGGTACATGTCACCGTCAGCATCAACAACAATCTGCCCTGTCACAATCATGGTACATGTCACCATCAACATCAACCTGCCCTGTCACAATCATGGTACATGTCACCATCAACATCAACCTGCCCTGTCACAATCATGGTACATGTCACCATCAACATCAACAACAACCTGCCCTGCCACAATCATGGTACATGTCACTGTCAGCATCAACAACAACCTGCCCTGCCACAATCATGGTACATGTCACTCTCCACACTGTCAGCATCAACAACAACCTGCCCTGCCACAATCATGGTACATGTCACTCTCCACACTGTCAGCATCAACAACAACCTGCCCTGCCACAATCATGGTACATGTCACCCTCCACACTGTCAGCATCAACAACAACCTGCACTGCCACAATCATGGTACATGTCACTGTCAGCATCAACAACAATCTGCCCTGTCACAATCATGGTACATGTCACCATCAACATCAACCTGCCCTGTCACAATCATGGTACATGTCACCATCAACATCAACCTGCCCTGTCACAATCATGGTACATGTCACCATCAACATCAACAACAACCTGCCCTGCCACAATCATGGTGCATGTCACTGTCAGCATCAACAACAACCTGCCCTGCCACAATCATGGTACATGTCACTCTCCACACTGTCAGCATCAACAACAACCTGCACTGCCACAATCATGGTACATGTCACTCTCCACACCGTCAGCATCAACAACAACCTGCCCAGCATCAATCATGGTACATGTCACTCTCCACACCGTCCGCATCAACAACAACCTGCCATGCCACAATCATGGTACATGTCACTCTCCACACCGTCAGCCTCCACAACAACCTGCCCAGCATCAATCATGGTACATGTTGCCCTTCACACAAACAGCATCAAGAACACTCTGCCCTGCCACAATCATTGTAAATGTACAGACAGCAAGATGCTAACTAACATTCCAGGGTACTATATTAAATATCTACATACCGCCTTGTAGTCGACAAGTTCCTGCTGTAGCATGGCTATCTCTGCCCGCAGAGCGGCCATCTGTTTGCTGGCCTTGTCCTGGTTGGCGATCACCTTGTTCTTGATGTTCTTGGCACGGTTAGCATACTTCAGTGTGTTGAGAGTCTCCATGAAATCACGGTCAGACGGAGAAATACAAGCAATCATCAGAGTGCGACTGAATGGAAAGGAAAGAATAGCTGATTAAGTTCTAAAACAAAAAACTATAATGGAGATGGAGCGTCGGGAACTTTTTTGCTAACTATACAAGTATGACATGCCCTCAATCTCAACTTGGGTTTTGATAAATTTTATTAAAAGGGAACTTGGGAAAATTAAATATTGAATGAAATTCAGCTGAGTTGGAGGAGAAAATCGTCAAACTTTGTGTTTACTTTGCGCAACATGGTCTGAAAGTTACTCTCACCTGTTACCACCAAGCGAGTCTTGTAACAGTCTTGTCAGCTTCGAGTCCCGGTAGGGAACATGTGAACCTTTCTTTAACTTGTCTCCTAATGCTGATATCACATTACCTAACGCAAGCTGAAAATGGAACAGTCTGTGCAAGATTACCGAATATCCACATAGTACCTTAAAACAACAATAATGAAGACTGCATGTTTTCCCAACATTTGTTGATAATTATTCATAAAGGAATATAGCGATAACTTTTGTGACCTTGTCCCCATTCATTGCATTTTATCTGAGGTAATATAGTGACAAATTCATTCCGTAATCATATCAAACCTCTGCAAAAGAAGCAGATCAAATAGAGGTGATACCAGGTGTTCGCAAAAATTTGTGTGTATCCTGCCCAATCAGTGGAGAAAACCAACTGTACTATTACTTATGTACAATATACATCAACCATCACCAGGTAACTGCAGGATTCACATCCTCTAACAAATACTCACACTTATAACCTTGAAGTATACAAAGTATGGCAAAGGACATGCCGACTGATTACACTATTTTGGGAGCAGCAAAGAAACATATATCTGAGCTAGTCTCAGTTATTGTATGCCTAGTACTGAGCTTGCCCAGTAAGGCTGCTTCATCAACTCAGTAGTCAGCAATAGCCCAGCTGTACCACTGTGGCCTGTAAATAACCAAATACGGACCAGACAAACCAGTGGTTGATAATAGTAGCAACATCCCAAGCCATTAGCATTCGATGATATGCACCGAGCAAGACAACCTGATCCATTAAGTCACCTATGATACAGAGGTTATTCTACCCCAAGATCCCTACAGTCCCAGCGTGAGTGAGTGAGTATGGTTTTACGCGGCTTTTAGCAATATTCCAGCAATATCACGGTGGGGGACACAAGAAATGGGCTTCACACATTATACCCATGTTGGAAATCGAACCCGGGTCTTTGGCCTGATGAGCCAACGCTTTAACCACTAGGCTACCCAAGCGCCCCTGAAATTCCTGAAGACACACCTATCAGTTATCTATCTATACCAACACACAGAAGCATAATGAGATATCTGCCGACCAGAACCACTCCCTACCAGGCCACAGTTGATGGATATGCCTTCCTTGGCTCTTTCCCCTGTAGCGCCAGTTCGCTTCAACCTCTCTGACCCGGCCAGATCAACAAAGTGGAACTTGGCTGTCAGGGTCTCAAACTCATTGATGGACTGTGTGGAGTCTGTGTCCTTGCCCTCATCCAGCAGGGGCTGAAATCAATCAGATTTTCCGTTACAGCAACACAAAGGTTAGTCCAATAGTATGACTTTGGACATAGTAGTATTACATACGAGTACAAAGAATTGATACTATAAATAAAATCAATATATTTTCAATATTTGCAAGCATCACAGCGCATGGCCACAGAATTTTACCACTTGGCGAAAGTAAAATCGCGAGTTGGTATTTAAATCGTATCATGTGCCTACTAAAATTGATAGGTATGCTCAAAATGGCAGTGAAGGTAGACATTTAGCACTTTGGTGAGCCAATAAGTAAGGTGTTGACAGACTAAGAATATAATGGCACAACTCTGGAATTCAAACCCACAATCAGCAGATCTTGACATAACTAAGGAAAATACAAACTAAACAACGAGTCTTAGTCCACTGGATCACCGATGCTTCATCTCTCACAAGAATTTACAAGAACTTATCTAGATCAATATGATAAGGTTACCTCCTCCTTGACCATTCTGTGCTGCTTGATGTGCAAAGTGAAGATGGCGTGGGAGCGTGATGACTGGACATTCATGTTGGTGCTGGCCGTGGCTCTAGACAGGGCACCAATGTTGAGACACTTCATAGTCTGTATGGAAACAAAAGAAAGTTTATCCAGACTTGAACACAATTTTGCATTGCAGACTTGAATTAATTTTCTTTCTTAAAATTGTTAGTCATCATTAAGCGTCCCCTTCTTGACTTGTCTTGTACCACGAAAGTGTGATGTCATCTATTTTTGCACCAAGTCTGTTCCATTACAATGTTAATTACATTGTTGATTGACTTTAATCACACAGCATAATATTCAGCATGTGCTAACTCATTCCATCCACCTCTTCCAGCATCCCCATAAAAACATAATTAATGTGGACCATAAATAGTTGATTACAATCAGAATTTTGAATTGTGGTATAAGGTGACATTTCCATGATTACCTAGACTAACATCTAGTCTCTGAAATGAACACATCTTACAGAAAAATTATTTCTAATAAAAAATATAATAAAAAGGAGCCTAGAGACTCTCTTCATTGATACTGCAGTAATCTAGATTTGCCAAACATTATAGACTTGCAAGGGCTGTATTGGATGTATTTGTATCAGGGTCTGACTATGACAGCCTAATGATTACCTGAAGCCTTACACTATCGCGTTTCCTAAACGGTGGCATCTTCTGATGCAACACGACAAGCAATGGCTCCAAAATAAACTCTTTTCATAAGACACAACTTTATTTTTATCAGCCCAATACTATGGCATTGTAGCCCAAGCTTCTACATTTCAATGTAGTTGATGTCAAGAATATGTGTCCAAGAATCAACCTCATGAAACACTTGGACCAAAAATATCTTGCATGTGACCTGCAATATATAGAGATCATGACACTTCCTTGAGTCATACTGATGTTCAAAATGAGTGTCAGAATTCTTGTATTTCCCCCGAGTGAGAGTGAGGGTCATACATGAATTCTTACACAAGTTTCTTAAAGTCAGGATGACACATACGTAAGTGTAATCATTTCTTTATCACCCATTATTTATTACTCCTTTTGAGCTCCCTTTTAGAAAAACGCACTGATCACAACCGTTGTCATAGAAAACCACATCTGTCAACAATGGTTCAGTTATGATGTCATTTCAAGTGTGACGTCATTCAGACCTTACATCACAAATAGCATTTGAATGGCGTCAACAATGACATCCGGATGACATAAACAATACACTGGTGTACATAAAGTGATATTTGCCCTTGGGCACATAGCATTTTTTATGAACTGTTATTACTAACCCTGTGGGTAATAAAATGAATTATGACCTATTGAGTATTGAGACTAGGGAAAACCCAGTATGTCATGTACATCTGGGAAAATAGCCATTCAATTTATATTGGATCAATTCAGTTGATGTCCAGACTGTGTGTGCAAGAATCAATCTAATGCAGGATTTGAACCACAATTTCATCTTGTATTTGACATGCAATATAATGAATTGCCAAGAAGTCACAATGACCTGCTGATTATGGAGGCTAGGGAAAACACTGTACTGTCATCTGCATGGAAAATGGCCATTCAATTGATCTTCAAACGTGACCAAATATTTCAAAAGCATATCTGATGCTGAAACTGATCAGCCATTGCCAAAAAGCCATTAATTTCACCACTTACAAAATAGCAATTGACAGCAGTTCAGTAATTTTCCACCAACTTTTCAAATGAAACAAAAAACCTCATAATCATATTTCAAAGCATTAAGCATCGTTAACCAAGAATCAGTGTCGCAGAGAGTCAAATTCACTCATATCAATATCAAAGCAATCAAATCCTATTGATTCTCCAAAACACAACATGTTCGGTTGCTGCCAATATCTGATCAGGAACATCCACACAGGTCTGAGTGTGTATTTGGGATTCAGATGAGTGTAGGGATGGTGCATGGTCGTTGTAGTTCCGTCTCAAACACACTCAATATGGCTCAATAGCAGTCAAAGTCTACATAGGTCTAACTGTACAGCCAGAAAAATGGAAGAGTGCCAGAAAATTAATTCCAGTTCCACCACCAAGTACCAAAGTAGCCCCTGAGTGTTCCTCCAGTCTCAGTGATATATCAGATAATCAATAACATAGAATTTTTGTTTCATGAGTAAGATAGCAGTACTAATGGCTGGGTCTGCATGGATAAATAGCTCTTAGGTCATAATCAGCAATTTCGAGGACATATTGCAGCAAGAGACACAAAGGCAGATGACCTTCACTGAACGCCAAAACGAGTATCAAAGCAGCTCATCTGCATAAGATAGACGCTGGCTAATTACAGGGCTCGACTCCTTATGTCTGATCAGTACTGATTAGTAGCTAGTCCCGTAGTTCATTTCTCTCAGTAACGTTTCAAGAAATGGGTGATCACAATTGCACATCATTATGCTGGCGGCATTCCAGTAGCACTGGAGAATGGCCTGCATCAGCCACCAGTGTATTTAAATGAAACCAAACAGATGTGTATGTGTGTCCTTCTATCTGAGTACATGTAGGATGGGAACAAATCATTCAATGGAACTGAGGCTGTACTATGACTTGAAGGTACAGTCACTTCCACAACACTGTCAACTCACCCCTCTCCTCAGGCAATGGGTCTAATTAATGTTTCACACATATCCCCAAGGCAAGCATGAATACACCATCTCTGTGGAGTGTTTCCAGCAATGTGACCGACACCAAGACTGTGACCTTACCTCTGTCCTGTGCTGCAAGTCTACTTACTGATTCACAACACAGTTCCTGTCCCATATGTACCAAAAAAACTTCTATAAGTGAATTTGTCTAAAAAAACAAACATCTGCTACATCTTTTAACATTGTCCACATAAGAAATAACGAGGCCCACTGTAATCCCCAAGCAGAGGCAATCAATGTTGTTGTTCGCGAGTTCATTCAATGTTCAATATAAAAACTAATTTGAAAGGTCCTTTAGACTTTGATATCCATCAGCCTGTTGTGTATGATTGAATCGGACCAAATGAGAGGCACATCTGTTCATTTATCAAAGTCGTTTGAGGCGACTAACGGGATCGGGTGGTCAGGCTCCCTGACATGGTTGATGCATGTCATTGTGTCCCAATTGCATGTATCGATGCTCATGATATCAATCACTGGATAGTTTGGTCCAGACTCGATAATTTACAGCCCGCCTTCAAACAGCTGGAATATTGCTGTGGACGGCGTTTAACAATATAAAAAACAAATTTATCAAATGGCAGTCAAAATAAGGATCAAACTCGGCTAAAAGGACAGTTTTGACATTGAGAATCCTGAATTGTCACCTTCACTTGTTTCCGAAACATGGTAGCACCTCGTCTCCTGTACCTAAGACAGACTTGCGATTTGCTTTGTTTCACTGAGCAATATTCCTGCTACATGGTACCGGCCTGTAAATTATGAAGATTGGGCCAGACAAACCAGTGGTTGATATTAGGAGCAACAATCAACATGTACGCTGACATGCTCTCAACTAAGTCAACAAGCCTGACCACACAATCCATAGAGATGTGTCGTATGAAAGGCATAGTTCTTGGGCACCAATTATAACCCAGCATTCCTCCAGGAGACTTACATCTTCTAGCGACACGACAGTGCGAGTTGTGACCCCAACAACGTAGATTCCTCCAGCTGCATCCTCGTGGATCTTGATGTGAGACTTGCGGCCCTGAAGTCAACAGTGACAGAAGTTAAAAGACATAACATAGAAATAATGCCTTTCATCATGGAATGGGTCATTTATCGATGCGATGAACCAATCCGATAAACATGCAAATGAGGGCTCAGAAACTATGTTTAGTAGCCCTGTACATAGATGTGAGGTTTACATACTCAGTATTGCATAACATTCCATAAATAATTAGATCGTGGTTCCCTGATGTGTCGGTGCTTATGGATTTGTTTGTTTGTTGTGTAACGCCGCATTCAGCAATACTCCAGCTATATGATGGCAGTCTGTAAATAATCGAGACTGGACCAAACAATCCAGTGATTGATGTCATGAGTATCCATGCAATCCCTGGTGCGATGACATGTATCAATCAAGTCAGCGAGTCTGACCACCCAATCCCGTTAGTCACCCCTTATGACAAGCATAGTCGTCTTTTACGGCAAGCATGGGTTGTTGAAGACCTATTCTAACCCAGATCTTAACGGATCCAGTGCTTATAAAACAGTCATGGAGACAATCATTTGGCACAATATAATAAAAAGGGCTGTTTACTCAGGCTTAATATTCCTACGCGGTTTCTAAAGTTACTGTATAGCAATATGTGATTAACTTTGATTATTATTAGAATGACATTAAATTATAAATAGATTATTACCTTTGTCGTGGGCTTCTTTTTTGTAAACATGATATATTAGAAAGAAAAGGATTTGCATAAAGCTCACCAAAGACTCCAGAAATACAATTATTACAATACAATTGTGATTTATGATATATGACTATACACTCGCCTTATGATCATATCAATAAACAACAGTTATAAAATCATAGAGAAGATCAACATTGGATTCTCTTTTTTAAGTTATTGTTACAATCCTCTTCACAAAAAGGATGCCAACTTATCTATGCAGCATTTTTCATTTTGAGTACAGACATGTTTCTTCCTTTTACAAGTCATGTTTGTTAAGTCTTGACAGGCATATATAAGTTGGAAGAACACAAATACATCTTCAGGTGAAATGAAAGAGCAAGAAGTAGCTCTGAAACATCGTGATGAAGAATCCAAAAAGTTGTTATCTATAAAAAGTCTCATGTATTCAAGTTTAAGTTAAATGAATATCACAAAGCTTTACTTTTTGCCTTAATGAACAACTGTTAACAAAATGGGTGCAAACAAGTTTGGCAAGACAGAGGAACCACATTTCAATTCAAGACCGAGAGAGTTCATGGTCGCTAACACTGTAACAGAACAAGGACCAACATTGTCACAGGTCTGCTAGTCATTAAAAGAAATGATCTGAGAACAAGTACTCCCAAAAAGGGTACTACTATTACACAAGTAGTATTTGGAAATTAAGTGTGTATTGGATGGATTTTTAACTAAGACATCTACCCTTGCAGTGATAACAAATGGTAATATATAAATTTACTTTATCAGGTATGAATCCATGCTGAAAGATAGTATTTACCCTTGATTCTGGGTCCCTTGTTGTGTCAAGTAAATCCAGGATTTCCTCATTGTACAACTGAAACAGAAAAACAAACATACAGACATTGAAACAAGTCTCATAAGGGATATTGATTTAACACTATTTGTCTACTTGAATAAGCAGGGAAGGTACCACAGACATTTCAGCATTTTCATTTTTCAAGAAATTGACAAGATCAAATTCAAGAGGCCACATAAATGAATACATCAAAGTTCTGGATCTGTATTTTATTCAGCAGGATCATTCAGAATTGCAAAGAGTGGATGTGGGTTAGGCAGACATGTACAAGCATCCAGGAGATGGAATCTCTTGAAGATATGGTTTTCAGCTAGCCACAAACAATGTTTCAGAGGTAATGCTCAGAAAGATTATTGATGAATAAAATATTTTTGTATATAGAATAAGATCAACTGCTCTGATTATTGCCATCACATTTCAGATTATCTGAAGTTTTGAAGTCTTTTATTAAGGCATGATAATGCTGAGTGTCATAAAAACAGTTCTAGAAGTGATATTTTCAATCATAAATGGTGTTAACATTGTGTATATATTTTTTCATTATACAGAATAATATAATACAAATCATATCAACTTACTTAAGTAGAACATATGAGTTTCACTTAGTCAACAAATGACAAACATACAGACCATACACTGTCAGAACTCTTTATACAATATTCACCTTAGTTAGCACCCCAGGTGCCTAGAATATTGAAATATAAAAACTATACACAACGAATTAGTAGTGAACAAACTTAGGTCAAACTAACACTTCAAAAATTAACTATTATACAATTATATATGGATGTTCTGCACGGCAGTTCTCTGTATAAAAAGTCTGTAATATTCACAAGAAAACACAGACTTTCATGTAGACTTTCAGTAGAGGGCCCTAAATATTACCCACATGTTGATCTAGAAATTGGTCAAGGGGTGCTTATTGGAGCAGGGTGCTTTTTACGGCGAATATGGTATTCATGGTTCAGAGTTCTTTTATTCAATGTTAATAAAAACACTGATTACCATTTACAACTTTTGCCCAGCTACTATCTATTATGCATCATTTGGAGAATGTTTATGCATGCAGCACAGAGAGTTTAAAACCATAAACAACACAACTTGCTGTATAGCAAAGAGATTTATTAGATAACAGAACAAAACCCCTTTTCTTCAGCCAGACCTGACCAGTTATCTGTAATGCAACTTCTCTCAGTGCACACTTCAAATACACATTGTTCACTGCACGACAACTAAATCAAACAGTAAATCTAACGTGCATATTTCTCCTTATCTCAACCACGTGTGAAACAGAACGCACTGAACAAGGCAAACGACTTGCTCTCTCTCTCTCTCTCAACTCGCCAACATTTCCGTGGGTTACCAAATGTAAACAAACGTGGCAGGCATGTGCCATCTCATTAATACATCAAAGCGAACAGGAGGTGATTTGTTATTCCTGGTGGGTCTTACTCCTTCAGGCATAACAGTTGTGTTTCCCTGTACTGATCGGCAGTGAAAGTGATCATAGCTGTCGCTCAGGTGAGGAAACTGTCTTCAAGGCGCTATTCTCACCCTCAAGTGACGGGGATCATGTTACCCCAGTAAACAGTGTGCACACTTCAATTATCTCACTTCTACTTCATGCAATTTGACATATTACACCTCGGATGTTACATCAACTGCTACCGTTGGTATCACTGTAGCAGGTTTCCCCCATGGACAGGTAGTTTCAGTTACGTTGCTGTTCAAACACACACGCTTCAATAGGAATGCAAGATATGTTTCCTGCAATCTCTGGTAGTCTCTGACAAAAGTTACTTTGCAGGAGAGAATGTCAATGAACTTGCTTTACTTGCACCTAACTGCAATCGACAATTTACCGTAATTGACATTAATTAAATTTCCTTTACCTCACAAATGTCTTGAATGAAACTACAAAATTTGTATAAGGACGATGCCCTAATTAGCATGATTAGATCTATATCCTTGATGATACTTAAAAATACTTTAGCTTCCGACTCAACACCTGAGGCCATAATTACATATAATGCTTAATTTAGATTCTATGACTCACAATCCATTTGGCAATATATCACCTTTCTCAAACATTGGACTACTTGTGTATTGTAGAGCAATGTGACATTCAGCACATGGTTTCCTGTCACTCATCGTATTCCATACAAGAAAGACAACACCATGTTATCTGGCTTGAACGGTATATAGAAGTTGTAAGAACAAGAACATATGAAACTTTTGTAGGAAACTTTATTGTTTGTAACAACGTGTCAGGGCTGCTTCTTGCCCCTTCATCGGGAGAATCATTAACACGATGAAGTAGCCCTGGCGACATGAAACTTTCACAGATAACAACTCTGTTATTGTTTGTAACTTTTCACCTACATATTCACCTGATGAAAGGGGCAAGAAGTAGCCCAGGGCCCCGTTCCTCAAAGCGATCTTAGCACTAAGGTGATCGTAAGTCCCATACTTTAACATAGGCTTACGATCATCACCGCGCTAAGATCGCTTTGAGGAACGGGGCCCCGAACCGTCTTAACAAACAATAAAGAAGTTTTTATACATAAAAGTTCATGACATCAGAGACCATATAATAGAGGGACGGCCCTCCCCAACAGTTTATCATAAACCATCAGTGCTACGGTCTGGCATGTAACTGATACTTCCCAACACCCTGCTGTTAACCTCTCTCTACCGCTGCAGATGCGCAGTAGATGCGCAGACATTCACGACTGACCATTCTGGTAACCACGTAAACAATATTATATAATATCCGGGGTAAGAGTTAATTCCCTTAGCCGAGATTTCTCCGACTATGACCAGCGACAATCCAATGAAAGGACGTCTCTTAGCGGATTACAAAGATTTTTTTATGATATCTCTCATTAGCACATGTCAGTTGGCTGCAAATTATTCGCTGAACATGTGTGTCTTCCGGAACATTTATTTCAATTTACATTCGCCACAGCCTTGGACGACTTCATTAACTTGGACGATTTCGTCTTGGACCTAGATATGCCACTTGAAGAATTCCCTCTCTTCGACCAGGGGTTGGTTTCGGATGACTCTTGGTCTAAATAGAATGACAGTGATGTTACTGCTACCAAGCTGTTGGTAATACCTCCCAAAAAATTACACTCAAAGAAAAAGATAGGAAATGAAAATATGACGTCTGTCCACAAGCGTAAGTTTTCGAGGGCGTGTGAAGAAAAAGCCGCTCCGATATCAAAAGTATTTTATAATGTATTCTATTTGTTTTAAAAATCAGTTAATATATCTCATTTTATGCTGCAATTGTTAACTATTATAAATAAACAAATATACCAAATCTACTACGAACGCCACAGAAAACTACGATCCGGTAAATTGCACAGGAACTCAGGAAGTGTAAATAAAACTCATCCAAAAGCAGGGAAGACACTTGTAACATATCACCATATTCCCGATGTTCACAAAATATATCTCCAGATTAACTTCATATCTTATAATAAGTCCAGACTAGATTTACTTGCAAAAATGCATGATCATCGACTGGTGTAAATGCTTTACTATTCGCCAGAAAGAAAATGACGCCATATTAATGTTTTTATTTCATGTAAATTCGCTACTATTTTATAATGCTAATAAATCCAATGAATTAGAAATACACATTAAACTACGAGCGTTGTTAAATGAATTTTCGATGTGTTGTCGGGCTTCGAAAGAATCAAATGTTATTGGTTAATGCCAGTTTGGGGCTAGCAGTGATAATGGGGTTTGCCGGAGCGAGGTAAGTTTTTTTTAAAAGGGAGGCTACTGTTAAATTCCAAAGCAAAGAAGACGATTGTACTTTTACAATCGTTATTCGATATTACCCGATTAGATTGATATTTCAGCATACAAATAATTATATATTTCAGGTATAACAATATAGCTTCAACGAGCATGGTACCAGATATGTACTAGTATATCGTAAACTGTAGTAACGTTTGTTGTTTTCAAAATTCTTTCATCATAGTTTTCTATATCTGATCAATGAAAAACAAACTTTAAACTCTAACCTGGAACGAAGCATGCAACTATTACTATTAAAACAAAACAAAACAAAACATCACAAACTCTGACATATATAAATGTATTTTTCACAGAAAAGGACAATAGACCATCTATATATTTTACTGAATGACACCTTCTCCCGACGACTGCCGATATAATCCTTCTTCTTTCTTGGCATTTACAAAGCAAATGATAATTTTATTATACAAATATTTCATGTAACGGATTTTTGTTTTTGTATGATGTTTTCATTGTTGTGTGAATACACAAAGTAAGTAGTACCTTCATCATATTTACATTGTTATGATTGGGTTTAGGCCAATATCATTTTGCTCATAATCAATATTTACACGGCATAAAATAAATCATTGATTAAATGTAGTCATGATTTATACAGACAAAATCTACAGAAGATAACAAATATGTAGTATTGTAGTATGTTGTATATGAGCGATATGTGATTAAGCCTAACTTAAACAAAGTTAAACTTACGAAGAAATGGCGAAAGCAATGGTAAAAAAAATACGCGTTTTACACAAACAATTCTAATATCATACAATATAAGTCACTTTGTAGAATGTTTCAAAGAATATATGCAGATGATAATCACCAACAAAATGCATGTTATGTCGTCTGCTATATGGTAATTTAACTTAAAATATGTGACGTAAAATATGGCCTTGCGCCAAAAATCATACCCAAAAAACTACCGATCGTACCTAAATAACGTTGGTACCAGGCCAAAGGGGAAATTGTGATGAATGTAAAACTATTAAATTCAGGACCGATAATAGGAACACATTCGTCTGAAAGCATGCGAAAATTAAGTGTTGTGGTGTACTTATTTCGGGAAAATTCAGATTTAGTCCCATTTCTGGAGTCAAAATCTGAAATTTCGCATCCGCCCTAAATTTGTTAATGGCACTAAGCCAATTTTTAACATATCTCCTTTTTATACACCTAGGTAACCAAGGACTTTCATT